CCGGTGACTTTTCGGGAGAGCCATTCAATGTGCGATATTATGATTGTCTGAAATTGTCTTGTGAAAGGGTGCAACAAAAAAGTGTGGGGCGGGAGCCTTCATCTCGTTCCCTATGAGATCTAGAACTTAGAACCCTACAGTACCGTGTTTTGACCCTCTCTCGCAATTGTTTCCCCTACCCTCTTCGGCAATCACGGACAAAATTTCATCATCAGCGGTAGGAGAGGGCTGTTGGCGATGGTTCATGGTTCCTTTCTCTCCATGCCCTAATTGATCGCACTGTACGAGCCTCAGTGCTATCCACGAGATATCATACAAGTATCATGGGTTACATTAATGCTCGTCGAATGGTTTCTTGGCACTGGCAAGCCACAGCAACGCCCAAACGAAATACCGTATGTACCCCCATCGTTCACTTCGACCTACCGCTCCCTTCTCGTTGAAGGAGAAGGAAAAGAAAAAGGAAAAGTCATCATCTTTCTTTCTCGTCTCTCATTGTTCCCTTTTAACTTTCTATACGCTATCGTGTTTGGCTCGTGGTTTTGGGGCTGGGGCAAAGGGCACGTTACCAGAAGGATACCATAAGGAGCTAACCTGCCATCGCACTCAACCTTTTTCTTCACTCTTTCTTTTGTCACTGCCCAGATCCAACTACCACCACTCAGCTATTTCACACGACTATCCTCGTAGCCTTCCTTTTGTTTCAACCAACTCTTCACACACACATCGACACACACCAGCGCCTCTCCCAGTTAAGTGAACAACAACTGGGGGGGAAAGAAAAGGAAGAAGGAAAAGAAGGACAAAACAAAGAGGGGGGAAATAATAAAAAATAAGAAATAGAGCTTTCCGGATCTTCAGAATTATTACAACAATGGCAGCCGCGCAGGGTCTTAGCTCCGTCGAGGATCAACTTCAACAACTAGGAAGTGCGCGCGCCCTTGTTCTAACCGATCCAGTCTACTGGCCGCAGGTACTACACGGTATCCTCCCAATCGTATCCGGACCTGTTGTCGAGCTGAGGCGTTGGGGTGCGGACTTTCTCGCTGAGACCTTTTCCACCCCTGTGGTCGAGGCCGGGGAGAAGTTGAATCTTGCGGTTGCTTGCCTGGATACAATGGTTAGGTTGATGGATGAGAGAGAGGCAGGCATTCTTAAGAGCGTCGTCCAGTGTAGTGCTTCCGTATACCCGCTCATATTCAGATATATGTACGTGCATACCGCCCAGCTATCTTCAACCGGAGGCCTCTATCTATGGTCCCATTACATTTCATTCCCCCCTTTCCCCTTCTGCAATCCCCCCTATGGGGAGAAAAGGAAGAAAAAAGCGATATACCAAATGTTATCATAGAGAGACCTTCCTCGGTCATGTTGTTTCTATATATCTCCCCCCTTCCCCTTCTCGTTTCCTCCTTGATATCCGCCGTTTCGTTTGTTTGTTTGTTTGTGGGGATTCCCGTTTACTGAGATCTTCGCCCCTTTCTTTCTCTTTCTTCAATCACAGATGCAATAATCGAGAAGATGCAGCCACATGGAAGAAAATGGATGTATTGAAGTCGAAGATCCTGAGTCTCTGGGACACCGGCCCGGTGGGGGTACGCCTTTGCTGTATCAAGTTCGTACAGAGGGTAATATTAGTTCAATCTAGAGGAGTGACGGACCCCAGAGTGAGTTGAAGTTATCCCCCAGCTTATCACTCCCTCGCTCACCAACTAATGCTCGACGTTCCAATATAGCTTGCAGACAGGTCGGAAATATCTCTTAGCATGGTTCCAACTAATCATCCCATTCTGTCACTCCCCGCGCTAGACGCGGAGGCTCAAGGGCTACTTGACAGGCTACTGGGTGTGCTCCACGAAGATCCAAGGCAAGAAAACACCACCACCACCGCCACCAATAGTGGAGAATCAAGTAGAATAACAGGTATATTGATAATTAGTAGTGATGCCACCCTTATCGTGGCCACTCTAAACAATCTTGCGCAACTGGTCAAGACACGGAATCCTATTGCTGCGAAGATAGTGGGCGCAGTGTTGTCATTTAATCCCTTGGCAATAGTGTCGAGGTCTAATACCATACAAAACCGTCTCATGATGCAATGTATGGAAAAGACTGTCCGTGTGTTGTTGCTCAATATAGTTCGGTATGCCAAACCTGCCCAAATTTTTTACTGTATTGTTCGACTGCTGCTGCCAGGGCCCATGATCGTGGCAGGCATATCCGATATCTGATATCTGGCCCGGCACACATGCTAACCTTAGGCGTTCAATTTAGTGCCAACCCGCAGGGTCCATTCACGGGCAAAGTCTCGCAGCATTTGACGAGACTTTCGCGAATGAAGGCGGACCTTTTGGAGGAGCTATCGCGCAAGAGAGCAGCTCCAACGTCGGACAACGACGCAGTCAAGAGGTTGAAGACCGATCAGCAACAGCAACATGCCGTGGTCACTCCTACTCCAACTCCCCCGCCGGTTCTCCTGCAGCAGCAGATCATCAGTGGTCCCATGTCATATGCACAATTATATAGTCTTTCTACTGACGTTGCCATGACTTCTTTTGACGGGCAGCAATTGCCGCTGGAATTGATCCTCGAAATTATCAATCGGAGCATGTATAACGTTCAGCAACATAACCTTGATGCCGCGATTTCTGTAGGTTGCCCAATTGATATATACCTTCGTTGTGACTACTAACACGGTTTAGGCTGTGAGAAATCGTTACGACACCCATTTGAGCGCACCTCCGCCTATTCCATCAGAGGCGCTCGCACAATCTTCTTCCCAACCTTTGAACTACGCTCCACCACCAGCGACTACTGACGAACCCCACGCGGGTCCTTTTACAGATGCTATTGAGAATAGAATTGGCAAACAGGAGAAGGAGGAGGATAAAGTGGAATCGAATGACGAAGATGAGGAAGAGAGTGAACTTCAGTTGGGGAAGTTCTGTCTCCCGCCTCCACCAACTCTCAGTCGTGAAGACTTGCGCGAATCAAGTTTCGATGCCGTAAACAGGATCTTCTCTGTAATTGACCAGTTTGATAAAACCTCACTGGTGTCCAGGAAGAGTAAACTCGGAGTGATGCGTCTGGCAGCGAGTAATTGGGATAGAGAGGGCTGGACCACCCTCATCACACGTCTGGCAACCAGAGGGATGGGAGGGATTCAAGGTGAAGACAACAAACCAGATGTCTCGGATGATGGTGATGGTGATGATGGCGATGAAGATGATGAAGGCGATGACGAAGAGGAAGGAAGCAGTAAATTGCAAAAGCCCTCCGCACTCAGCAATTTCATTAGAGATAAACTCTACCTTTGCATCATCGAAGATTTTAGAGGAAGAATGGACATTGCGATCTCCTGGCTCAATGAGGAATGGTACAACGACAAAGTCATGACGAAGGCCCAACCGAACCGACAGCCCCAATACAAGATCTGGATGATGAAGGTCATGGACGGGATATTCCCGTTCTTGGAAGGGAAAGATAGGATGTTCATGAGATTGCTTTCGGAAATCCCCGAAATCACAGTAGAGCTATTGCAGAAGGTTAAGATGCTTTGCTTGGATCCCGATAGAGCAGTTTTGGGAATTCAGATGTTACAGTACGGCCTCTACCCCCCATGTACTAGTACATACTCTCGTTCGGATGCTAACTTATGCGGCAGTTTTCTCGCAATGCTAAGACCCCCGGTCAGGAACATGTGCATGGATGTTCTAGAGGACCTATGGCTGAATCGTACGCCCCACCTGCGCCACATTCTAATGTCTGCTACTAACTTTATTTTTAAATATATAGATACCGAGCTTCGTGGACAAACTCACAAGCTCATCTTAAAGTGGAGACCCGAGGTGCTCGCTCCCAAACCCACCGCTCCTCCCGACGAGAATGCCGGCACCCCCGAAACTCAGATCGCGGTGGACATTCCCGGTGGGAGTGTTAACGGGAACTCTGCAGCAACAGCAACGGCAACAGCATCGTCATTGGACAACACCAATAACACGACTATGGCTGCTTGAACGTTTTACTTAATTATAAAATGGGGAACGGTGAGGGAAGGAAAAGGGAGCGGGGTTGTTTTTCACCTTTTTTCTTTCTTTCTTCATCAAACATGCATCACGATATCACACCTCTGTGTCTCATTCTCTTCTTATTCTTTTTTTTACACCTCCTACATCTTTATATTCATTGTAGAAGTCTAGGGGTTTCTTTCTTTCTTGCCCTTGTAAAATGCATGGTATGGAGTTTTTTTCTTTCTATTGTTTCCCACCTCTCTCTCCCCATCGCTGCTTTTACGACGATGGCAGATGATATTCTCTTGTTTCTTTTGAAGTGTATCTTCGCTGGAGCAGAAATCGAGGAAATTACCCTTTTTGTGATTAAATCCCCCAGCTAACTTAAAGCACAAGTATTTATACCTCTTAAATTATGAGATGAGATGAGATGGGCGATGAATCAAATGGAACTGCACATAATGGTCAACCAAGTACTTTACAGTAACGAGCGGAAGATCAACACTAGTAACTGTATTAGCTATTTGGGTCAAGTTACGCCTTACCGTAGTTTGATACGTCGTACCTGTTTGGATCTTGTAACCGCTCATAGCTGTGGATAAGGCGATGAGAGAGCATAAATGACTTTCTCGCTTTGCGGCTAGATTTAGATGGAGGGTATCACAGGAAAGTGCTATAGGTATAGCATGAGATTTTGTAGTAGAAACAGAGGGGGGGTAATTTATGGTATTGCACTGCACGGTATCATACCGGTACCCCAGCTGCGACGCTATCAGGCGGCGAGCAAGCACATGGAAGACTGATCCAAGGGTCATGAGAAAATAAATAGGAAGGGTGCATTCTTGAGCGTAGAACAGTATCGTGCGGACGGGCATAAAGTGCTGTATCATACAGGGTGCGTTAATCTTTCCTCACACTATTTCCTTTCTCTCTCTTCATTCTTCCACTCTTCCCTTCTTCCCTTCTTCCTCCTCATCCACGAACACCCTGGCTTCTTACCTCACCTACATACGTTCTCTTCTTTCTCTCTCCTACTGATTTCTTCTCTACAAACCTACCCATCTACCCAGCCACGACCGACCCTCATTCGTTCATTTCCGTCCCGTCGCTCTTTCAACATTAATCTTAAAAAAAAATTCTCACCTTACAGTAGGTATCATTATCGTAATTGCTATGACAAAACAGTTCCGGGAATTGCAGTGCTTACAAGTTCTTCTCAGAGATGATATTGGTGAGTGAGTGAGTTCTTTCATTCCCTAGCTTATTTTGTGTATATTTTCTATGTTTTTTTTTTTTTGTAACCCACACGCCGTGTGTGCGGCGCGATACATACCATACAGTGCCGATGCCGGACATACATACATGCCCGAATTGCATGGTTACTGGTGGAAATCATTGCTATCACTCAGTCAGCTTTCCCGTCCCCCCGGTAACTATCCCCCCCCCTCTCCACTCCGCTGTGCTCTAGTTCACGCCAATCCAGCCGAAGCAAGGGAAATCCTAAACAAATAAACTTGGGCACAAAGCGAGTGAGGAAGCGACTTTGAGGATAACTGCCTAGTTACTTGTTTGTTCATTTTTGGGGGCTTTCCCATTCTTGCATACCCTTTCTTTACCTGCTCCATCTCGTCCTTTCACCCCATACTGCTGCGTTTTCGAGGGACTGGGTCTCGTTATCTATTACAGTACTATTTATTCTCCTGTTGCCGCGAATCTATTGTTGTTATCCATACAAGAAAAAGAAAAAAAGAAAAAGAGAGACTAACGGGAGAGGGCGTCGTTGTGTCATTACCTTTCTTTCAATCCAGTTGAACGAACCGAAGAGATACAACAGCTTGAACAAATCACCGTCGGCATGAATGGGAACACATACCCCCCCGAACTTGAATTCTTGGATGTACCCTCACGCGAAGACTCGGTCTTACCCGTACCGAACGGAGACAGCAGTTGCGATGCGCCGGGCTCTGGCGGTGCCAATCTCTCACGGATCACGACGGGGAAGAGCGGGAGAGTCATAGAAAGGCTCATGAGCGATGTCGACAGGTTTTTAGCACCACCTCTACACCAATCACCGAACCCGAGCGTGGGTGGTGGGAGCGGAGGTGAAAGTAGGAACTAATAGGATCTAGGTTAAAACGAGAACTCAAAGTCGAAACCACAGCCCGCGAAGAAGAACGAAAAGCCAAGGAAGCGATAAAGTCCTCCCGTGACTCACTACAGAGCACGAACGACAACCTGATACACCAAACAAACATTGACAAAGCCTCCCTTGCCCGGAAGGACCGAAAAATCGAAGAGTTGAAAGCTGAGCGGGAAGCCGAGCGAGCGAGAAGACTAGAGTCAGACTCGAGCCTGAACGAGCACATCCGACAGAGCAACGAGCAGTTACAAGAGCTGAAAACCCAACTCAGCCACGAAGTCGTCGAACGAAAACGCGCTTCGAACCAGTACGAAGTGCTCCTCCAGAGCTGGAAACACCTCGACGAAGGCTACACGGGACGGGTGGACAAGCTCCGGGAGGAATTGGAAGAGCTGCAGAAGGGCCGGCTGAAGGACAGGGAACTGTTCAGGAGGCTGGAGGTCACGATTGAGCAGCAGCAGCAGGAATTGGAAAAATTGAGATTCGCCAAGAATAGGATCTCGGATAAGTACCTCAAGGTCATACACGAGGCCGAGGGCGAGATTGAGGACATCAGGACTTTGGCGAAGGTCGCTGAGAAGGAGACCGCCGAGACGCTTACCGAGGCGAAGGATACGCTGGGTCAGTTACGGCATGTCCTTAATGTACAGAGGGACTTGAGGAAGGATAAGTAAGGAGAACTTGTGCTGGAATTGGAATTGGAATCGGAAATGGAACGAAACAAAACGTTGTCGATTTGGCGTATAGCGGGCAGGCGATGGGTAATGGGTTAGGAGTATCTCTCTCTCTCTCTCTCTCTCTCTCTCTCTCTCTCTCTACCTCTCCCTCCCCCTTTGGCAAGATTGAACGGGAAGCTTCATCAATGTCCCCTCTGCGGTATCTCTATATACTTCCTTCCCTCCTTATCTCCATGTGCTGCCCACTGCTACTATCTTATTCTCCAACTCCTGACACCATCGCATCGCATCGCATCTCATCGCATCATATCAATCATTCATACATTTCACTATGACATGACATGACATGAACATACGACAAGAACATTCAAAATCTTCTCGGTTTTCCTCTCAAAGCCTCCTTTCTAGACGCAGGTTAAAAATGAAAAAAAAAAAAATCAGTGATTCCCTCACTTCCATTAATCTTTTGCCTCCCTTTCTTCTCTTTTCCTAATACTAGCATGACTCACTGAGATCACCCCCCTCCCCCCATGGCATTGATTACGGTATGGTTATGGTTATGGTAAATGGTTACTTGGTTTGGTTTTTTTCTTTCTCATCATATGGTTCTTTCTTACTTTCTGATGTTTATGATTCCCAAAAATGGAGTTTTTCTCTTTCAAAGTTTGGACCAGTGCTTTGACGTGGTTATGATCCGGGTACGGAGCGATTGAGAAAAGAGCCCCTAGCTTTCCGTGAAGCCTTAATTTCGTTTTGTCCTTTGTAATCACAAGTGAGTGAGTGATCCCCAAAAAACTTCATAATAGCGCACCCCCAGCAGGACACAGCCGAAACGGAACAATCGAAACTACCATTCCACAACCTCACTCCACATCACCCCAGAATCACAAAATCTCACTCGCATCTTATATCTTAAACCACCATTAACATTCTCCCTACTCACTCACTTCTTTCGCACTGGCGCATCCGGAACCACCACATCCTCAAATTCGTCCTGTGCGACCGCCCTAATCGTATACACATCTACCCACATTTTTAGCATATAAGCGCCCACACACCCGAAAGAAAGAAATCTCACAAATGCAAGCGGTGAGGCCAAACATGGCGACGCCCGTCGCCAAATTCTTTAAGAGGAAGGGTTTTCGAGCGCGGATTAGGGAGGCGCCCTGACGTTGGTCTGGTTCGTAGTATGTTGAACGGGGGAGGCTGGATTGTTAGCTCCGAGGTAGATAGGTAGGTGGGCGCGGGGGAAGGGGGGAAGGGGGGGTACACGAGGAATTTGCGGGTTGAGTGCATCTCTGGTTTTTTTCGTCGTGATGATGGATTGTTTTCCTGGTATATGGTTGTGAGAGTGAGTTGTGGGATGATTTTTTTTCGAGGGTTTGAGGTTTATGATAGTGTACCGGTTTGGGTTGATTTGTGGGCTCGCCAAGAGGTGTTGGGTGAATTACATACTTACAGTAGTACTGTAGATACCGTAATACCTTGCCTTCTGTCAACAGGAGTTCAGTTAGTCTGCCGGTATGGTAGCGAGAGGTGTTATTCATACTAGCATTTTTGCTGGGGTATGGTAGTGAGGCTCGGTTGCACACCCGTATCACACTCTCCCAAATCTTTCTTTTCTCTTCTTTTTCCGTTTGTCCCTTCAGCTACGGGCTTTCCTTTTATTTTCCTCTGTTTTCGAACAGTTTTTGTTGAGGGACGCGATGTCGGAATATATTTACAAACCACCGCCACCGCCACCGCCGCCACCGCCTGCGCCTGCTACCAATTCCTCGTATCGTGGCCGCGGGAGAGGGGGAGGATATCGAGGAGGAGGAGGGGGGAATAATAATAATGGGCAGCGTGGCCGAGGTCGGGGGTTCAACACGAGAGGTGGAGGTGGAGGGGGAGGACGAGGATATCGCGATCCTCCAGTCTTTTCGCAAGCGCACTACGGTCCATCATTCCCACAATCGCCGAACCAATATGGACCGCAGCAGCAGCAATTCCCCATGAACCCATTTTACAACCTCCATACCCCACTGCCCCCAACTTCCTACCACTGGTCCCAGCAACATCAACAACCACAGCAGCAGCAGCAGCAGCAGACACCATCCTACCTCTCCTACTCCCAAGAAAAAACCACCCCAGCACCTGCCCTGACCAGCACATCATACAAAACCGCACAATCCGGCTGGCCAGCGACTCCCTCCTACGCCCACTTCACCCCGCCCGATCCGCAACCCCGACTGCCGGCACCACGAGCAAGGAAGGATGAAAAGCCAGATATGGACGAGGAAACCTGGCTCCGGCTGAATGGGTGAGTACGCTATTGTTCGTGGGCTTTGCAGAGAGGGTACTGATGGGTGTGAAAAGTGGGAAATTGCTAGGCACGAATTTGAAACCCCCAGAGACACCGGAGGAGATTGAGGAGTGGATCCGCGAAAGGCGGAGGAGGTTTCCTACTAGAGAGAGGGTTGCTGCTAAGGTTTGTCTCTCCTACTTACACTTCGCCACTTGTTACCGGAGGGGGGAGAAGGAGGACAAGCGACTGATTGATGTGGGGAGTAGGTCAAGGAGGAAGAAGAAAAGAAAAGAAAGCTCGCTGGAGCTTCTGACGCTAGCGCGGAGACGGTACGTGCCCAGGCTCCCGCCACGTCCCGTCAGGCGCTAGCTACCGCCCAGCAGCCCAGTCAACAGAAGCGCAAACGCACCGAGCAGGACCCCGGCAACGACTACCCCTCAGATTCCTCACTGGACTCAGACGCAGACACAAACTCCCAATCCTCCTTCCCGGAAGAACTACCCACTTCCAAAAAACCACCCCCCCCTTCCCCCACCGCATCTACACCGTCACGGAAGAAATCCACAAAACAAGCCGCTCTATGCCGCGTATTCAGGACCACAGGAAAGTGTAGATTCGGGGAGGGGTGTCGGTATAGACATGTTCCTCCTGAGGGTAAGCGAAAGAAGGGGGGGGAGAGGAAAGGGGCCAAGTCGCTTTATCAACGGGTATGTTATTTCCCCACGGCCGGGGAGTTGTGCTGATAGATGATAGTTACTCGACCAAGATAGAGAGAAAGAGAATGAAATTGTTGTCAGCGCTGTTCGGTACCTGTTTGAGAGGGGGGCGCTGAGCGTGTCTGAGGCTGGGGGTGGGAAGTAACTTATCATAACACTTGTACTCATGTACTTATACCAGTGCCGTTAGTAGGAATTGGTAGGAGGGGGTAGGGGAAATTGTTTATTTATTTGCCCATTTTTCATTTACCTAAGTATGCCTGGCCTGGGTACGGTAAGTTATTCACCGTGTACGAGTACGAGCACAGCATTCGAGTAGCAGTTCTGCCGTTGCCATAACCAACCCCGCCCCTTCGGATGTTGCCGTAGTCAATGACGTATGCGGCTCAGCTCGTACCTGGAATGTGAAAATCATTGGTTCCCTCAATACCTCATGGTTCGCCCACCCACAAACACAGACTGTCACACACGAACCGTGCTCTTCACTCCTCCCGCCTCCCTCCACCACAACATTGTTCATTCCCAAACGGCCAACAAGACCTTTCACTTATTTACCACACTACCATACTAGAATATATATACAAAAACCCGTCTCCCAATCACTTGTGATAAGTTTACCGGTGGTTCCCCTTCTGCTTCCAAGCCGCAGCTCTAGCTCTTGACCTCGGTTTCCCGGTCTTCTTCCCTGAGCCTCCCTTTTTAATGCCGGAATCGGTGTTCGCACTAGCTCTCAGTCCTTCAAAGACTTCGCTCTGTGATTTCAGTTGGGCGGCGCCGGCTCTCCCGAGGAGTTTGTGCGCCCTACCGATGATGTTTTTAGTTTTCGGATCGAGCTTTGGGATGTATACGCCTTTGCTCCTCGAGGAACGTTTATCGGATAAGGGAGGGTCTGGTTTGCCCGTTTGGTTTCGCTTTATGGTTTTCGCCCTGGAGACGCGGAGCTTTCGGTCGTTGGCCATCTTTTTGGAGTCTAGGAGGAGGGCTTCGTCTACCGACATGGGATCCTGTATGACATTTACTTTCTGCGCGAGGAGTAGGGTTGTGTAGGGTTGTGTAGGGAGTGGAAATACCTCAAACTGAACATACGCGAACCCCTTCCCAACGTTTGTTTTGGCGTCCCTAACAACACGCACACTCTCCACCTTCCCGCAGGTACCAAAGTGTCGCCATAAATTCTCCTCTTGAGCCTCGAAATCCAAGTTCCCGATGAACACGCAGCGTTTGGGATCCTGGGGGGATGGGTGCGCGACTGAGTCGACCCGGATGTGCCGGTCGAGGACTACCTTTCCGTTTAGCTTTAGAGCTTCACGGGCTTCGACCGGGGTGGAGTAGACGACGTAAGCGTTTACAGTTTGCTGCTTTTCGTGTAGTTTGTGAGTCACGAAAGCGGCCTTTCGCGGGATTTGCTCGCTGAAGGCTACGCTGCGGAACCGGATGGAAATTATCTTTCCGGCGGTTTTAAAGTGGGATTTTAGAGTTTTGTAGGAGGTCAGTTGGGTTGTTAGCAGGGTATTGAGATGTGGGGTAAGGGGTAAGGGGAGTTCTTACCTTGGATGAAATCGCTGCGGAGGGGACGTTGCCTAGGAAAACTGTCCTGGAAGACTTGTCGAGCTCGACGTCTCCAGGATTTGCGAGAGATTCGTGCTTGGCTGAGGGTTCCTCCTTTTCAACATCGATGTCATCCTCGTCACTTTCTCTGAACTCTTCGTCCTCTGCCTCAGTCCTAGTCCTTTTTGACATCCGCCGTTTGTCCTCGGCATCCTGGGAATCTTGTAGCTTCTGTAGATAGATATCCTCAATTTCTCCCTTGTCGCTCCGTCTCTTGCGTTTCTGCCTCTTATCCCCCGGCGCAGTCGTGGCTCGCAAATCCTTCGTATCATCGTCTTTTCCCGATTGGGAATCGTTTGCGGCCTCGCCGTCCGAAGTATCCTCTAGATCAGACCCCTCAACCTCCGAAAGGTCCTCATCATCCTCTTCTGGCTCACCTTCCGCAGCTTTGTTCGATCGGGTACTTTCAATGGAAGCTTTTTGTGGAACTTGAACTGCACCAAACTGTAACGATTGGTAGAGACCTGATCAGTGGACGAATGCTTAGGGAAACTAGTTGAGGATATACGAACACTCAGATCAAATAGAGATGCCAACGAGGGGTCAATATTGCTGCATGAAGGCGCCGTGGCCGAACTTTTCTCCCACCTGCTCTTCTTTCCCATGTTTTGTTGGATGAGGGGGTTGGGTCGTTTGTCGCTAGGAGGTATGGTGGTGGTCCGTTTGACCTCCTCGCTTGGATACCGGCGGAAGGGAGTAAAAAAAGACAGTTAAGAATCTCGAACAGACAAAAAGGAGGAAAAAAGGGCGACAAGCACTTGTTTGACAATAGGGTTGTGGTAGTAGTGGTGGTTGTGACAATGGGGATGGGGCAGTTTTTCTCTCACTCCCCAGAGGTTTTTTTTCTTTTGCTTTTCATACCTTTCTCTTTGCAGATTGACACCCCAGAAATCTTGGCGTCGGCAGCAGGCGCACCAGTTAGGTTTCCTTACCAGTCAGTCTCACACTCGTTCTCACACTGCCGCATCTTCACGCTTTTCGCTGATTCCCCCCCGTCTTGCTTCCATTTCAAGGGCTTCCTGTGTGCCTTCAAATTTAGGTGTGGACGGGCGCTGGGCGAGGGTGTTCAGTGTCACCTTATTAGACACAATAACCAGCCCCGAAATCTCATGTCCAAAAGGAAAAATAAAATTTTTAAAAAAAATTTGAGAAAATGAAAAATGAAAAAATGTTGCCTAATAAAAACACCAAAAACGTGAGTTTGGGTTCGGTGAGTGACAGAAAATGAATTCAGTAGAATATCACCCATTGTGCCAGTCTTGAGGTGAATGTGACCAGAAACAGCGTTCTGGGCTTGGTTTTATCTCTCATCTTTAATTTTATACCCTTTATTTCATTTCCTACCTTTAGTTTTCGCTCATTGGGATATTCTTTCTAAATTCTGTTGTCTGTCCCCGCTATCACGACCCGTTAGTCGTCCCCGTCGTCTGAGTTTCTGCGTTCCCTTCCTCCCTCCCTCCCACCCACACACAACTTTCACCCCCGGCTTCACAACAATCGCCGCCGTCTCCCTCCACTCCTCCTGCTGCTTCCTCCCCACAGCAATAACAATAACCATCATCACCATACACCACCGCTACCACCACCACCTACACCTGTCGTTCTCCCCCTCCCCTCCACCCCGTTCCTTATCTACCCTCCCTACTTTTCCCTCCACACACCTTCCTGACTCCTGGCTCTTCTCCCCCTCTCGCTCACTTCATCTTCCAGTCTTTTTTCCCTCTACCCTCACTACCATTTCGCCCAAGAAAAAAAGAAAAAGGAAAGAAGGAAAGAAGAGGAATAAAAAGAAGAAAAGAAGAAAACAGACTCTGGCTCACTCCTTTACGCCGACTGTGGATCCCCATCCTCTTACAGGCCTCGGGAAATCCTCTCGCTCAACGTCACTGTTCAACACCATCCCGCTTCATCATCTCTCAATAGCATGACACCAGCTCTCAAACGTGGCAGCAGAAATCGTCCTTCATCTACAGTCCTAGAAGAATCTGGTACGAATCTCCACTTCCTTCTATCCCCATATCCCGCATTCCCCCCATCTTGAGGCTTTCCCTTTTTCCCCTCTTCTTCTTACAAGCCGGCCAACCTCTCAGGAATCTAACCAAAGTCTCTCTTCCCTCCTAATACAGCGGGACGGCGATCAGGAAAGCGAACGCGTTCGGCAAGTTCATTGCCTCTCTCCTCGGAACCAGCTGCTTCTGCTTACCCTCCGGTCAACAGTCGTTCCCGCTCAGCCTCTCGTCCTACCACTAGGGAACACCTCCATCGCGACGTCGAAGGTCCTGCGGACGAGTTGGGAGAGCCAGCTTTGACGGATCGAATGGCACTAGACTCCACAACAACCACTGTGGAAATAGAGACTGTCACCGTCGGAGCTTTGGAAGCCCTCAACGGATCTACCCGATCAACCCTATCTGGGGGCAGGCGAAAACACACAAGTCACGCCTCGGACCGCGACTCCGTATCGAGCCTTAGCGATATTGGCGAAGACTCGGAAGCCGAGACTGAACGATTACACAATTCACCACAGAAGCAAAGACCGAGGTTGGTCCAACACAAAAGTACATCTTCTACGGTTATACCCTTCTCACTAGAGATGCCGACAAGAAAAGAAATGGAGGATCATGACGAGGATCAGGTTACTGGACCTGGTGAATCTATACCCGCTACCCCCACCACCACCACCTCGAGCCCTAGCAAGAAGCGAAAAAGAGAGACGAATGGATCGCCCGCACTGCGACCCGTGGAAGAGCCCAAGAGCAGACAATCTACCCCTCCTTTGAAGAAGAAAAACCAAATTCCTCAAGAAGTGTCGGAAAATGAAAGCACCAGTGCAAACAGCAGAAGAGGATCGAATACGGAGGCTGTTTCTAACACTGTTTCCAATGGAATCACCCAGGATTCAGTAATGGCTAACTCGAAAGATGTGAGGCCGTCAAAACCGGCAAAGGTTGTTCCTCCGAAAAACGAGGTGCCTGGGAACGCCGGAGACGAGCGGGATCCCGAACCTGTTGCGGAGACGGAGGTGGACGAGGCTGCTGATGCCACTGCTTCTGCTACACTAGACGAAGAGCCTTGTGACAATGTCGATACCACACGAGAAGACGATGAAGGTGAGTCTAATTTTGGGCCTTTGCTACAGCAGGACTTTTCTTATGGGGTCACAGACACAGAACGCGTGAAGAGAAAAAATGCGGCTATGGAGGATTTGGCTGAGATAGAACGAGTCTTTGCCCAACTGAAGGACAGGTAAGCGCTACGCTTGGATCCGTATGACCTGACATTCTCGGCTGACGCGCCCCACTAGAATTTACTCAGAGAGGTTGAAGAGGGTTGATATGGAGATGAAGATGGTACAGGATGGAACCCATCCGGAATTTGTGGCTCAGAAAACTTGTATCGATCAAAAATTGGAAGAGAAGGTTCGGTTGGCGGACGCACACTACAAGTATGGTATGGAATCTCTGTCTATCGCAACTCGAGTCAGTAGGGCACAAGTGCATTCTCAATATTTCCAAACCGTACGTCAACTGCGGGAGGATGCGCTCGAGAGATGCAGCGAGCTTTGGTACCAAATCCAGAGAGAAAGGAGAGCTGGCGATGCTTTGGTTTCAGGTTTGTCTTTGGTAATACTCATATATTCATGGGGCATTTGATTGTAACACATCACTGTGTAGAGTTCTCCTATCGGATACCAGATCGCCAGAGTGCCAGGATTAAGCAACGGCAGCAATATAATTGGGAGGTGGCGCTTTTGAGCGGAATCGCAAAGCACATTGGGTTTCCTGCAGCACCCGATGTTGTGGGTGCATCTGAAGAAGAAATTGTTGATGACTTGGAATCTATGGGGGTGAGTATTGGTCCATTGAGATTTCGGCCGTAATTCTTTATTTCGTTTAGAAGTAAGGATTTGTCGTTGGCTTGGATGCTAATGGGAGTTCTGCAGATCGCTACACGTGTACCTGCACGAGCAAGTGTAACCGTGCCCCCCACCGGTAGTCTACGCGAAAGGGGACTAGATGATTTCTATGAGAGGTCATTACATACCAACTGGTCACATACCGGCATGCAGCCTTCTCCACCACCACCTGCGCCACAGCCGACCCAGCAAGCCCCCGGATATCCTCATGTACACATACACCATCACCACCACCACAACCGTAGACATACTGGGCCTAATCAACCCGACCTTGCACGTCGTGGCCCGTCGGCTCAGGGTCATAATCCTGGACATCAACCATCAGCTGTATCGCTATCCTCTTTGCTCCAAAATGATGTTATCAAAATGGAAGGTCCGTCTACACATCCTCCTAGCACCTCTTCATTGAGTGCTACGCCTCATCTACCCCCACGGACGTCTCAATTGTATTCTTCACAAAGTGCTCAACATTCCCTCCCCCCTTCAACCTCTCTCCAGCAGCACGTGAACCCATATGTTCGTCCTGGTAATGCCGATTCTCACCAGGCTCCTCCACCGGCACCTCAGAGGTTTGATATAGGCAGAGGTTCAACACCTGGAGACGTAAGGATATATGGTACTATGGGAGGAAGGGAGAATGAGGCTCCAGACGGAGGGCTCCGAAGGTTGAAAGAGGAAAATGACAATGCTATGGGAGTTGGCCCTCCTGCACTTGGTGCATCTGCACCTTTGAGGTATGGTCCTAGAATGAGCTATTCATGATCAACCTCTACCCCTCTACTGTAGGTATTCATAAGACCAAGATTCTGTCAATTTCTCTTTTCCTAAACACGGGGTTTTTGTCTGGGGCGAATTGTGTACAGGGTATTCCTAAAGGCTGGGATGTTCTAATGTTTTCCTCTTGTTAGTTTCGTTTCACAGCGTTATTGATAGCTCTAACGTTCGCATGAAATGTCGATTTTTTGTGTATCCTTAACATTTCCGCTGTTTTCATGAACTTTCACCTTGGGTCTGGGTCTGCTCTTTGTATTTAATGTGGAGTACCTAATTTCGGATGGGCGGAAGCTTGCATGGGTTGGATGGAGAACGAGAGTGGTGGCTCACGTCTGGCTGAGGTCCTTGTTTTTTTGTTTTTTTTGTAAAAGCTATCCCTTCCTTCTCTCCTCTCTCATTTCCATTTCTTGTATCTGTGTTAAATACCTCTCATTACCATACCCTTCTTTCTTGTCCTTTAGGCTGTCTGGCGGCGGAGTTTTACTTTTTTTATTTTTACCTCTTTGTTACTTCCTCTACCCAGATTTTCCTCCGTTCCGTGTTGGCTAGTCTCCCCCTGTGGTCAGTGGGTTTTTCTCTTGGGTATATATTCAACACTTGTCATCTGTGCTATCTGTGCTATCTGTGCTTATTGTGTTTAGGGAGCTGGGCTTTTGAAAGGATATGAACATTACTGTAAGGTGTTTTTGTACTCTTGATAATACCAGATGATGTGATTAATCTGTACTTGTAATGGTATCGTAGTGCCGGTACTTGTAGATTATCACAGTCGAAACTTTGTTCAAACTGCCAAACCCCGGAACTAGACACTTAGCATAATTTAATGTGACGTAAATGTAAGAGAAGCGGCTCTAAGATTATCTTTGGGGGGCTAACTCCTCACGAGTCTTATCTTATCGATAAGCGAAGGACCGATAATGATCGCCCATCCTCCACATCTCAATTAGCCTACCCCGCCCTAGTTCATTCTCATCGCCACTTCCTACAGTCGTCAATTGTGCCACAGTGAATTTGACGGACATTCTTGGATGAATTTCTTCTACGGTGCCAGGTCCGGCTTAGGGTCCGTGACAGCTACCAGCAGTGTATCATATGACATTATTTATTGTTCCAACCAATGAGGATTCTAGGACTGCCTTGATGATCCTGGATTTAACTTATTGGAGGAAAATTAATACCAACGAGCCGGTACTTCACGGCTGTGGGGCTACGAGTACGAGTATTAACGCTCAGGCCGGGCTGAAAATTACCCAAGCACGGATGCAGGGCATCACGCTGTTGAGTGCCTCTAGGAGCACTTTAGACCATTAACTTATATGGCGAATCTGCTTCCCGTTGGCATGTCGTGACCTATCATACCGGTATGATATTAATACAGTACCAATTTACACCCCTCTCCGGAATTTGGGGTTGGGGGCGCACAGCTTCAAACACAGCTCACTTGTGCCATTGCGGCTCTTTGTTAGTGCCCTACGGTAATCGGTCGCGTCTTCCCAGCTCGGAAAACCTCCCTTCGCTCTTCTTTCCCACCAACAAACTATAACTTTTACCCCACTAATCTCAACCAAACTTTTTTCCAATCATACAACCACTTCCTCTGGGCCACATCACGGCTCCATTTGTATGTGTGGAACCTTGCCCGCCCACCAAAACCATTGTCGTTTCAAGGACTTTTCTTCACCAATACTCACGATGTCTGGTGACGAATCTGATTCTCCGCCTAAGGAAACTTACATTGCCTACAAGATTAAGACTGTGAATACACACGATGTCCTATAGGGGGTTTATTTGCTATTGGTTTTGATCGGCTGATTACTAACTTTTCTTCACTCTCTTTAGATCTTTGAGTTCACCCCAGGGGCTATTCACAAATTGCTTCGCACCTACAAGTATGCTAAAGGTATCCCTTGCGTTGGGCCCCTACTAAAGTGAGTCGCAGAGAAAAACAATCTAGGCAGTTGATTCCGGTCGACTGCTTTTTTGATTCAAAGTTGAAAGTAAGGATTATCTAGACCACTAAGTTTTTTTTTTTTTGAATCGTGTTTGTGAGCTGAGCTGACTGCATTCAGCTCTTTGTGCTGTGGGGAGATCAAGAGGCTTGCTATGGTGCCTTCAAAACTTTCATGGATGTTCTTAGCGTTGCTGCCAAGGATGCTATAACTACAATTCGGTATGGCGATAAGGTAGGAAGAAACCTCCCATGGATGATGGTGAAATTGGGATGAAAATATTAAGAGTAAATCAGGTCGAAGCACCAATCAAAAGATCTCCGTTTTCCCATCTTAACCTCGGAGCCGTGCAATGGACGGAGGATGTATCTGATGATGATGAGCCGGATAGCCACGATGAGCGTGGTGACGACGATTTCCTTTTACCAGTAGCCCCCCCCCCCCACACTCACCAGCGGTGGCCAGTCTGTTTATTATTTGATAGGTTTCTTCCAAAGACCTAGTGACTAGCTCGTCAAAGCCTATTGCGGAGCATAAGTACACCGAGACTTGGGACCCCAAGCTATCCACACTGGATTTCAGCTATGTACTTCACCCTGTTGATGGGTACCATTTCATAAAGCAAATTTCGAGGGTTACTGGATGCACCCTTTCTCCCGATAAGGTTAAAAAAGTGGTTAAAATAGGCGCGGGGAGTCCTGCATCGATAAAGCTTGCTCTAAAGAAACTTCGCAAGGTCCTTGAACGTTATGTAAGACAATACATCGTTGCTTTTGTGCTCGGTGGTACTGATTATATGGGACAGTGTCGCGGCTTCGAGTCAATTGAGGCTACCCTCGTCAACCCTGATGAAAAAAAGAAGTTTGAGATCCGCCTAGTCTCTCTGGAAAAGCAGAGTGAACTAAACAGAACAACTCTCTACCCTCATGGTTCAAAGTGGGCTGAAATTCCGGTCGAAAACAAGTTCCTTATTCGTATGGCCGAATACTCCCCGGAAGCGGGGAAGTTTCTCAACTGCAAAATAGAACCTCGCTCGCTTCAGGAGCGGTTTGCGTGTTTGACGGACCCACGGCACAGGTGGGAGCGCTATCTTGAATCTAGGGGAGTGTGGGATGGAGATGCTGGTGACTCATTAGCGCCATCTACGTTCATACTGGGCTCGGCACTTAACCGTGCCGGTGGCTTTCTTATGGGACCCGAGTCGAACAGTGGTGATGATGACGGGACTCCCACTCTAGATTTGTGCGATCCTCAACTCAATTTTGATTCACGTCTCGGTACCCAACCGCCGTATGAGATGCGTGCCAATGCTGCTCCGACGGTCAAACCGACTATACGCACTGTCAGGGCCAAGAAAAGTGCAGAGCAAGAGAAAGGCATTGGTTTCGCTATCAAAGGTAATAGCGACCTTCTCGATGGTGAGATCACCCTGGAATCGCCAACCCTTTCGCCTACACCCGCGCCTACAAGAAACCAGGACCATGTCTTCTCTTTTGAAGGTGCCTTCTCGGAGATACAGAGGCCACCTCCAACTGTTATACCGACCACTCGTACTGTGAGAAAGCCAAGGGCTAAGAAGACCGATGCCGGTGCCCCTGAGGTCGGGACAAAAACCCTGCATCGAACAATGAACCAGCAGGCTCCTGTACGCACCAAAGAGGGTCGCTCTGATCTCACCGATGGAGTAGACGATAGTAAAAGGTATGCTCTTGGATGTATCGTGGCTCGTATAAAGGTTCACAGTGTTTCTAGGGTGACAAAGTACAATGTTCAGAAAATACAAAAGATTTTCAAATCCTGGTACGGGTTCACTTTCCTGTCGGTCACAGTTGCTAATTTTGCGATCAGTTTCACGCATGTCCGTGGTTGGAGAGGCCACGTCAAGTTTGAAGCAAGGTGAGTTTCGTCAAGAGTTCCGGTTCACGTGGATTCTGACTTGTCAAAGTTTGGGACGTATTGTCCTTACGGGAGTTCCGAGAACCATATCCAGGCGTGGAATCGAATGGGGTGATTGGGAGTCATCTGTGGAGAAGCTTAAGGAGATTAAAACTCATTTCACTAGCGTGTACGCTCATCTGCTCCTTTTTTCCGGGGGCACTCAATACTTACCATTTTATAGGGTTACCCGTGAAGCTCATGACGTCGAACATGTTCTTGATTTGAAGCTTAGCAGGTTTGAAGCCATGTTTTCGGGGGATCTTAGATCAGAAGAGATCACATATGAATTTCACTGCGATGTAGAAAGCAAAAACAGGTACGTTTATCTTAGGATAGGGAGAATTAGGCTAATCTTTTACAGAATATTTGTCATGAATGCACAGACATTTGATGTGACCTGCTACAACGACGTCAGTGACTTTGGGACTGTCTACTGGGCCCATCCGACCAGGTAGACTATCCGCGCCTTTCACACCCTAATGTATCGTGTTAGGCTAATTGTCCTGTAGGGCCTGGGATGCCAGGATTAGACTTGCGGGCTGTAAGGTTCTCGATCTTGAGACACCAGGATTTGCGGAATTCCTCGCTAGCATCTCTGTTCGGTACTTATTGCCCCTATGGCCCAGAAATATGTTGACTTAGCTGACATTTTAGTAGCGGCGGAGGGAGCCCCCCTGCAGTCGGTTTCGACGTCAAGGGAACTGGTATCACTGTGAACAAAGTCCAATACCGCCACATGCTCAGGTACCAAGTGAACAAGAAAGTCTGCCTCGGCCATGAAATCGACCTTGCTGTCACCGAACTCCAAGATCTCCAAGTTAACCGTCGGAGCGGCCCAGGAAGGCGCTATGAGGCAATCTCCACTGGAAAGTAAGCACACCAACCAAGAGGATTTCTACTCATACTTTTCTAACAATCGATCAATCGCTCACAGACCTGCTATGGCCGCTGACGAGCGTCTGTCCTACCTGTTTTCCCTTGTCCCGGTTGAGATTGAGAAGCATCTAGTGGAGAACTATAACCTAGAAGTGGGCGAGGAGGTCACCTGGAATACGGAGGTCCTTGCAGATAGAGGCGGGGGGGACGGGATCCTAAAAGCCCTTATTAGCGTCGTTAATACTTTAGTCCAGAAAACTGACGATGTTGGGTTTGATAATAACAATATGCCGTACCAGAGGTCGGTATAACGATCTAGGACCCGGAAATAACGGCCATCGCCACTGCACAGCCGAAAGGAAAAATGGGGAGAATTGTGATAACGGCTAGCGGGGGGGGGCATCTGGCCATTTCTCGGGTTTCTTTTTCTCGTTGATTTCTTTCAGCTTTTCTCTTAGAATGTATTTTCTCCAAGCGTGGGTTGAGCGGATTGCGATAACGAGATGATGAAACATTTACCCTTGTTGAAATTGAGCGCCGAGCAACGTGATTTGGCAGCTTGTGGAATAGTCTACCTTGCTGATTTTTGGTTGGCATGATGGCAATTTATTGGCTAGCTTAGAAACGGCTTATGAGCAATATCACTTTTCAATATTAAAGATGGCCATCTTGCTATATATATTCGAGTGAGATCTATGATCGAGTGATATTATGTGTTACGGAATATTGAAATAACTTTGTGAGCGCTGTTGGAGATGATACCTGATGAGATACGACAAACATACAAGGTATTCTCCATCAGTTTTTTTTCTTTTTCTTTTAGAACTGAATTGAGGTGTGTACATATCATATCATACCTAACTTAGTGCTACCGTATAACCACCCCCCCTCCCCCCTTCCCGTTCCCTTCTTCTAGGTAAATAAGCTGGCTTAATCAATCACTCCATCTGGAGAATCGGTAAAACAAGAAATACATGTCGTTATAGCAGAAATATCAAGTCCCAACGCAGCGCCAAAAAAGGAATGAAAGAAAAGGAAAAAAAAAGAGAGAAACCCCACTCCCACCACCATTACACGGAATTTTCAGTCAATCCAAGTCATATAGAAAGAGGGCAAGTATTTTAGTGTTGAGAAGAAAAGGAAGGGGGGGATCCCGGCGTGCCGCCCATGAACTAAATCCTCATCCCCCCAGCCTCAATAACCGCTTTAACCAGTGCCTCACGTCTAAGTTTCCACACTTCCTCACCGACTAATTCTCCCAGGATTCCGATGAGCTGTACTTTAACCTCATCGGCGTTTGCGCCTGGTATGATCGGCACGACGCCATTCTTTCCTTTCTCCCCTCCAGCTCCTTCTTCCTCTTCCTCTTCTAGCTGTTTGATAACCCCCACCAAAGCGCTCAAGCACATCTCCGCCTCACTCTTCCTCGGCCCTTCGTCCTCGATTTCCAGGCGGATGACCTTCTCGTAGAGTTTTGTGTTTGGCAGTATTAGCACTCTGACAGCCTCCCGGCCGCCTATCGCGGCGAGGCCGATGATGCTGCCGTAGTGCGTTGGCAGTGGCTTCGCAGGATCGAGGAAGTGCTTCAGGCAGGTCCTTGTGAGTCTTGGTTTCAGCGTGTGCGAAGAGTCGCCGAAGCGTTTGCAGACGAGCTTCAATAGGGATGCAGAGAGGTCTCTCAGTGCGTAGTGTGCCGGTGTCTGGGAGTGGGGGTCGGAGGAGGAGGAGCCAAGGTGTTTGCCGATGAGACAGGTCAAGATTGGAGGGATTAGGGAGGATACGTATGGTTCTATGAAGAAGGAGTCATTCTCCAGAAGGGCGTGAGTCAAGGACATCATCTGCGTTAGCGTGAACAGGCTACGCAGGCCGTGTGTTGTCTTCTCCGAAATGAACTGGACGAAGTAGGGGAGTAATTGGTGCAGCCCGGGGTCCTTGCGCAGACTAGCGAGTGCGGCGTTGCGGATCGTGTCGGTTGTGGACTCATCGGTTATGGAGGTGCTTATTCGCTCGAAGTAGAGCTGGAGTTCCTTTGAGAGAACGTGCTTCACGAGGGGCTTTATGGTGACGGTTTCGTTGGTTGTGGGGTTTAGGGTCGAGGCGGCGGAGAGGGTTGTATTGCTTGAGGCGCCCTTTGGTGTAGTTTCCGAGAGGCGAGCGGCTTCCGAGGGGGTGGGATTCTGAGGGATGGCGGGTTGGACCCCTTCGATCGCGAGCCAGTGGCCTGGGCAGGGGGTGGTTAGTGGGTGCTTGGGTTAGTGAGGGGTGGGGGGGGGAGGTGTGATGTGAGCTATCGCCAAGTAGCAAAGAGGAGTAAGCACCCACCGGTAAAAGTAACATCCCTCGGAACTTTCGGTAACGGAGCATTTATAAGCTTCTCAAAGTCGACTTCATCATCCTCGACATAAAAGATCGGCTGAAGCTGTCCCAGCGATGCTTCCCCGAACCGGAGCGGACGGGTAGACTCGTAACCGTAGAGAGGCTCAACATCTAGGACCCGAAGAGCATTGCTAATATCCTGAGTCCCCAATGTAGTTCTTCTAGCGTGGCGCATGAACTTGAGCGCTTCCTGAAGAACCTGGTGGATGCGGTATTCGACGTCCATTGCGAGGTTTTTGGCAACATCTTCATTGAGATTGGCAACTCCGACAGACTCGGAAACGTCTTTTATTGTATCGCCGTTCCAAAGAGACATGGCTGCTGTGATTCTCGAAAAGAATTCTGTAAAGTGTAGAGCGTGGTTGTGCGGTTGTGTGGTTGTGACGGAGAGAGCGCTGGTTTGATGCGGTAGTTCATCAGTCTAAAAGCCGGGTAACACAACCTAATTCAATGGCTCTACACGTTTTACCCAACCAAGCCAAACCAAAACAAAGGAACACAGGTCTGTCTGCGACCCAACGTACTCTATCATTCATTCACGTTTCCCCATTCATTCATTTAATCCCCCTCCCCCCTAATCGCCACCATCGCCAATACTCGACGGCAATAACAACAAACTAGTATTAATCCCAATAGCGTAATATGACAATGGCTTCCCCACCCAAACGTCCAAAACTCTCCGACTCACCCTCCTTACCTTTCCACCGCTCTGCCAGCCCATCAAAACTCCCTGTACGAAATGACTCTAGCGCGTTATACCGATCGCCCACTAGACCCTCCCTGACGAAACGCAACCTCCAGCACGCCCGCCGCTCACCCTATGCGGAACCCGTGAAGAAGCGGTTTGTCAGCGCCTCGCAGGACGAGACTAACAGGGCGGGGAGGCTAAATTTCGGCAGCGGTAGCGGAGGGGCAGGGGGAATGTTCACTGGAAGGGCTAGGAGTGAAAGTGTTGGCACGGGTATTAGACGTGCGGGTGGTTCGAGATTGTCGTCTAGCCCTGCTAGGCGCAGGGGTGGCTTTTCGAACGCTCTTGCGCCTAGTGTTCCCCCTAGTGAGGATTCCCCGGAAAAGAGTGAGTTGGGGATTCTACAGGAGGAAGGAGGCGTGGAGGATGTAAAATCGCCAGAACCGGCGTCTGTTATGAAGAAGAGTGGAGCGCGCGAGGGGCCACCGCAACCCCGGCAGCAGCAGCAGGGGGGTAAGAGGAAATGGCCAGAAACGGAAATGGAGGCAAAGCAACGAGTCGAGAAGGAAAGGTTGGAGAGGATCATGGCGGCGAGGGTGCAGGTTTTGCAGGCGGAGATTATGGAGCTTCAGGAGGAGGTTAAGATTGAGAAGGCGAGGGTTGGGAGGGAGACGCAGGCTGCAAAGGATCTAGATCAGGATACTGACGCTCTGGTGTACGTCCTTTGTCTTGACGATTTTCTGGGTTTGCTGATGGAGTTGTAGGAAACGATTACTAGCTGTGAATGATGCTTCTCAAGTGGTATCGATACCGAAGCCAAGGCAGAAAGAGCCAGTCCCTTCGGCGAGGCCAGTGGAGCCAGACGATCCTCTTTCCCAACTAAAAGCCTTCACAAGCATCACTTTCACGACGCACAATTCCAAAATCATCCCATCCACACCCGTAAACCAAATAATCACAGCATCTGGCTATACCTCCAACCGTCTATTATACTTCACTGTATCCCTCAGCATCCAATCCGCCACCGTTCAAGAAATCACCCACCGTATTTCACCTTGGTCTGTTCGCGAACTAACCCCCGTGTTGACGACTGCCGTTACAGAAGGCGACATACCCACCGTCTTCCATGCGATATCTACATACACACTCATAGCTAAAACCCGGGCGAGTGTATTCGCGAAGCTCAGCGCCACATTCCCGCACCTCCTCCCAATCCTCGCTAAAGGCAAGAAGGAGAAAGGCAAGGTCTCAAGAAGGGAGATCATCCCATACCTAGGCGAATCACTCCTGTGCTTCCACCCCCGTGCAAAGACCGACAAAGCTAGTCGGTGCGGCGGATCGGGCGTGGGGGGGAGTGGGGTAGAGTTGGTCCTAGAATGGCGCATAGAGTTCGACGTCACTGGTGAACCTGAGAGTGTGATTTCGGCGGATGTTAGGTTGCCAAGTTATCGTAAGTTCTCCTCCCCCTTGTAAAATAACCGAGGGAAAAACGATATTAACGGGTTCGTAGTGAAAGAGGCGGATGAACTGAATAGCTTCTCGAGACTTGGCGGAGTATTTGATTTGCTAGTTAAAGAAAAGGGAGTGTACGATGCTGCTACTTGTGTTGTTGGACTTTTGTTTCAGTAGTACGAGTTTTTTTTTCCCCTTAGGCGTTATATGGCATGCTTGTAATTTCTTTGCCCCCACCCTTTTCCCTCTTGTCGTGGGAGTTCTCTCCCCTAGTTAGTGTACCTGTAGTATTGGGTAGTGAATGTAAGAATAGTTAATCATGTGGGATCACTCGGGATGTTAGCTCTAGCTTGGGGGTTTACTGTAGACTATTATACCGCAAAGCTTGTTCCATTGCTAGCAATTATCAAAGTTAGAAGTCAAGTGTCTAAAGCGAAGAGCGATACCGTAATATCGATGACAATATAAACCGGAGTACTGTACAAGGTTCCAAACGCCAAAAAATAAAAAAAAATAAGAAAAAGGGAGGAAAAAGAAGTCTGCTATCAACGAACTCTCACTTTCTCCCCCTCACCAGCAAACTCATTCCAAAATGCTTCCTCGTCCACAATCATCCCCCACCCACCCCCACTCCCCTGTACTCCAAAGTCTAGAAACATCTCCAACGTATCCTCCCCCATCTCGCACGTGATAGGCGGATAGACCGGCGGATCCGCCAACCACCCACCCTCCACCCCTTGAGGATCCATCATGTGCTTCCTAGTGCTCGCGAACGTCCTCAGGTACTCACTCGCGCCAACGAGCCTGAAGTACCTTGGCCAGTTCGCAACGTAGGCTCGTACCTGCAAGGGGTCCAATATCCCTGCATACTCTTCCCACGAGGTCGGTCCGTGGAGGGTTTTAGTGTGGTATTCGGCGAAGAGACATGGGAAGGGGAGAGTGGTGTCGAAGTCGTATATGGTTGCGGGAGCGGAGGGAGGGTGGTGGATTAGGAGGACGTGGTAGTCCCAGGTTACCGGGAGAGGGGGATGTTTTGATGCCTGAGGGTGTTTTTGTTAATTGTTGTGCTTTCCTACACGCGTGTTGATGGCTGGTTGGCTATTGTACCTTTTGGTAGAATAGTGGTACGGCTGTAATAGCAGAGAGGTTGTTGAGTTAGTCTGCTGTTGTGGAAGCGGGAGAGACATGTAAGGCTGGGAGGGACGGGAGTATTTACTTTTCATAGTATTTGAAATAAATGCTACAGTAAAGTACTTCCGGAAGTCGGGGGGTACTCGATCCCGAACTAGACAGTAGATGTTCTCCTCGCAATAACTATCGCACCCATATTTGACTCGCCAAACAACTGTTAACATACTTCCGTCGCCAAGACATCCTAGTTTCATACTAGTGACAGTATCATACAAAACTCACCATCTTGTGTAAACCAATTCCTCCCTATTCAACACCCCTAGGAAGCCCCCTCCTCCTCCAGCTCCAGCTCCATTACCACCACCACCGCCGCCGCCATCGCCATTGGAACCCTCGGGAGTCATTATTCTTGAAAGACCTCGTCCGTGGATCGGCAGGACTTTTTATTATTTCCTATTTATTTCTGAATCAAAAAGAAAAGGAAAAAGAAAAAGAAGAAAAAATATGAAACCTCGGCCAGCGTTCAGCTGGCAGGTGGCGTTTTCCCGCGGGTGGACGATAAGCGAGGCCAAGAATTCGAACAAGAACGGGTTCCTGAGAATCCCTCCCAAAAGCAGGAGGGGTGCAGCAAAGCAAGACAAGGAAGGAGGGTAGGAGTCGTGGTGGTGGGTGTCCGGAAGTATTGTACGAGTACTCGTACTGTGGTGGTGGTGGCAGTATGTTATGCAACGGCAGCAAGCAACTGACAGTAGCCGAACGGCTTTTCTGCGCCAAACTCGTACGAGCACTTTATCGCACTGGACTTGCACAGCGCCCTGGCCCCAGTGTAAAAAAAGGGGGGATGAAAAAAAAGGAGTGGAAAATAAAATGAAATAAGAAATGGATTGGTCCAGAGTGCGGATCCACTCGATCATGGTTCAGGACGATCCTGCGTATCCCTGCCATTGAACAAAACGGCTGAGTTGTCCTTTCTCTCTCTCGTCATCTTGACATTTCCCCCCTTGGCTGTTGCACTCTATCGAACATTCTCTTTAAAGGTCGGTATTCTCTCTTTCATTCTTCCCTTTAATGCTCTTGAAGGTTATAATACTGGCTCTAGAGGAGAATCCATTGTTCCTATACCTATCATTATACCGTGACACGATATTAACGTAAGTTGGTCACAACACAGAAGACGACAACAGAATAACAAACGACATCAACGATCCAGAATGGCCCGGGGAGTTCAGCGCGGAAAAAGCGCCTCGGAGGACGCCACCAAGATCAACAAAATCGATGCGAGACCTCACCTAGAAGGCCGAGCGCCGCCCCCGACCCGAAGCGCAATAGGTGCAATCGCGCAGGCGACGATCCCCATGTGGGTTCAAACTGCTGTTATGATCGCCTTAATATTTGGCGGGTGTTGTTCGAACGTAAGCAGGAATCCTCTTGATGGCAAAAAAACCGCCCTGTGCTGGGGGCGAGTAGAGGCGTCCGGGTGGAGGGGCACGGGTGTCAGGGTCGAGGATACCTGGAGTATTAGTTTGTGTGTGTTGAGCCAATTGCTAAGACAGACTCATCATGAAAGGTATTTGCGCTCGAAGCTATAGTGAAGTGTGTAAACCTCCCCTTCCTGGCTCTCCCCCCGCACTCCTGGCTTGAAGGAGGGGAGGGGCAGTGACGTTTGGGAACGAGTGCTGATTTGTGAAGGGCGGAACCGCAAACGGGTCACCTGCTTACGTTCGCACAATTCCTGTTTGTTGCGGTTGAAGGCTTGATTTACCATTTTGATGCCAGCTCCAAAACCCTGTTGAAGCCGAATCAGATTCCCATCCACCGGTGGTTGATTCAAATATTGTTGTACTTTTCCGTGTCAATATTGAATAATTATGCGTTTGGGTACAGCATTTCTGTGCCGGTGCATATTATTCTCAGGAGTGGGGGGAGTATGACTACTCTGGTCATTGGATGGCTGTGGGGAAAACGGTAGCTCAACATGCCTGAATTGGAGTGATAGGGGAGGTTTAGGTGCTGATAGAGTTGAGGGAGATGGCAGATACAGTAAAGTCCAGGTTCTTTCCGTACTGATACTAACTGTAGGAATTGTTCTCTCGGCATGGGGTGATTCTAGAGGAGTCGTAAGTGGACTCTCCCGTTTGGAAAAACAGCTGCCAACAATAGTTACGTAGGGACAAACCGAGGAATCAATGACGAGGTTCATAACAGGCCTTGCGATATTATTCGTCGCGCAGGTGATCTCGGCGTTCATGGGATTGTACATTGAAGGGACATATACCCGTTACGGAAACCATTACCGGGAGGGGCTATTCTACTCTGTAACTACCCCACCTGTCCCTACCTGCCCTTGGATATTACCAAACTAACACGGCTAAGCACTTTCTCTCTTTATTCCTCTTCATCCCCTTCATCCCTTCCATCCAAACTCAATACCACAAGCTTCTCATATCGCCCCCACTCTCCCTCCCAACATCCCAATTCCCACAGTTCTCGCAGATTCAGATACCCCGACAGGTGTTCTTCCTGCTCCTCAATGCAGCCACACACTACGTCTGCGTCCGCGGCGTCAACGTCCTTGCCTCCCGGTCCTCCGCACTGACGGTGACGATTGTTCTCAACATAAGGAAGCTTGTGAGTTTACTGCTGAGCATTTGGCTGTTCGGAAACGCTTTGGATTGGGGCGTTGTGATTGGGGCGGTGGTGGTTTTTGGCGGGGGGTTCATGTATGCTGCTGAGAGTCAGCGGATTAAAGGGGTTCAGAAGAGGAAGAAGGCTCAGTGATGGTGGGTGTGGTGAGAATTTTGTTTGTCCTTTTTTTTTTACTAGAACAACTTAGATATCAGGGCTGTTTAGTTTTGAGATGGTCGGTTCACATCATAATTATATGGAGAGTCGGTGGGCTTAGCGGGGGCTTACGCGGTATTTTATGACTGATGTGCTTTGCCCCACTCTAACGGGAACAAATATAAAATAACAAACAGCATCCTGCTAACTATCCAAGCCTGCACTCTTTAACCACGAATCCAGGGGTTGCGAGAGATAAAGGGATTAAATGGTCCATTCCGATGTGCAGTAATAATTTCGCATCGCTCGGTCATGAACCAGATATGACAAACCTAAAGAACCCTGCCCCGACGCCCTTTGTTTTCCCTTCCTCCAAGAAACCCAAGTTAATCTTGTATCATAGTTCCCTTCCTTCCTTCACCCCTCCTTATTCTCTGGCAGATAATACGGCCCAAGTGTTCATGGTCAAAAGTGCTAGGCATGAACAGCATACGACTGACTACTACTGAGGATATGGAAAAACAATCCAGGTGTCTGGCCCCATAATTCCTCGGTTGGAGTTCTCAATAACCATCAAGACCGGTCCACTACTACTGTATCTCAATCAACCCCCCTCGTGCACACGATAGCAAGTCCGACCGACCAACCGAGTGACGAAAGTGACCAACACCACTACTCGAGTACAGTACCATACCATTATTTACATACTCGCTAGATCCACTATCGGGAATCGAGGGGGGGGGGAGAATCGCGAATACCGGTATTAGTCCAATTAGTTAATGAGATTGGCACGCACAAGCTGGAGGAACACACCAATTCCTTCCGGGGGGTTGTTTTTTGTTCCCCCGATCGCTCGTGAGATCAGCGATAAGTGAACAAATAAAATAAAATAAATACGGTTATAGTAACCGATAAATCTCCCGTGTTCAAACCGGGTATATAGCGACTTACTCTACTAGTACTGTAAAGTACTCGTACAGTACAAGTACGGTACCCCCCCCCCATATTATAGTTCATATACAAATCCTCTTCCTTCACCAACATGACGCCCCTTCGACATGTCGTACCAGTACGGCATACAATTCACCGGGCGGGAGCTCAAGACCCGGTACGTTCTCCGTCGCCGTGTGCCGGGATTGCGTTCCCCGTCGTCGTCGTCATCGGAAAGCGGGATTTTAGTGGGACAAAACACGAGTGATGGTTCATGATCATGCGCTATGCGCGAGGGGAGATCGAATGTTTGAGGGGATTAGCGCCAGGATTTTCTTTTTTTTTTTTCTTCTTTCTGAAGGGTTGTTGTTCCGTTTCGGGTCGTGGTGGAGGTGGTGGTGGTGTGCGGGAGGCGCCTTATTCTTTCTTGGTGGGGAAAGGGAGGTGGAGGGGGGGGAGAGTCTGGCTTGTTTGGGCATGAGTGCCTGGTGAGTCGTTTCGCATTGACAATGTTTATGTTAGGACTTGTAAATTACTGTAGATGAGGTATAATAAACTACCGCGCTGGCGCCGTCGGCTGGTGTGCTTTGCATCGAAGGCGGGTACCTACGGTGATGGACTGTTTATTTTCGGGGAAACGCACGGGTTGATCGATTGACGCTGGGAGGCTTGAGAATCACGAGAACTGCGGATTGGTGTGACAAGTGATGTTTTGTGCCTTATGTGGTGGAGATTGTAGGAGGGGCCGCACAAAAGGTACGGTACTGTACAACCACATTTGTTCTCTGCGTTTTCTCAATTCCATAAACCTGTAGCCTGCTGTTCAATTTTCTCTGCTGCAAACCATCATACCATCGACATGCTTTCCGGTTTGCTTTGACCTGGAACGGAACCCCAGAGTTCGTCAGGAGCGAGGAAATGGTGCAAATCAGGCATCGGCTCGAGTCCCTTTTTGTCCTGTCATACACCCCGATGCTTAAAGAATTCATTCATTCTTCATTTTCAATAAAGCTATGATACTCCACTTCTTTCATTACATAATACCATCTGCATTAGACTACACAACATTTGACCGCTTCTCAAATCTCTCCACCATCCCCACCCTCCATTCCCCAAACTTCTGGTCACCCCGCTCGATCGCTTCTTTCAATCCTTCCAAGAGTTGCTTATGGATTGCAACCTCTTCAAACCCATCCGTGCCCATCATGCCGCCTTTATCACCCGCCCCGGCTTGCCAAAAAACCTTGACAGCACGCATGACTCGGCCAGTGTCGGAGCCGATGTAGCGAGTGTCAGTGCTAAATATCCATATCCTCAGTTTAACCTCCTGGGCTGTAAATATGATACGTCGAGTACCATTATTCTCTGCCAAGTCAACGAGCTGAGCCGCCAGAAAACATTGCATGGGAAACGTTTTGGACTTTTCGTCACATAGGGCCCACTTGTAAATGGTCCATCCTCTGGAAGTGCTAGAGGAACCATCACCCGATGGTTTCCTGTCTACGACGCCAAGAGCTGACTTACAGGACTTGCAAGTTAGAACATGGAGGTCTTGTTTTGCTGACGTAGGCTGCTACGAGTTAGCTAATTCTCGGGGAATGTAGAGTCGGGGGAGGGGGGGAGGTATGTATCTCGTCCAAATTCCCACACAAGCCAGATTCTATAGCATAGTGTGTTGAAACCGAGAGACTATTAAAGATCTTACGAATACATGAAACGTGGCGATCCTCCCTGCGCAGAACTATGTCCCTCTCGTGGCGCAAGAAAACCCACTGCTCGTTGAAGCAAGGGTACTTGTCACACCGACGGAGTTCAAGATAATCCTGAGCAGGATGTTAATCTTGGATATTTGTATCGGTACACGCAGCCATTGAGCACGTTTTCACGGACTGGTGACCTTCTTTCTATCCACTGGAAATATGAAACACCGAAACTTAGATTAAAGGGGGGGGGTTATTCACCTCGGAGACTTCCACAGCCTCAGAGCAGTCCGCTTCGGCCAGCAAGAAATAGGTTAGGTCGACCAACGCGGTCCCGGACTCTGCGACGTAACCTCGTTGTAATGGAGCGTAGCGAGGCCTGCCGATATGATGGTGAGAGCGTGATTCGTCTGGCTTATGGCAATGCCAAAAGTCCATCATTTCCTCCCAATTACCCGAAGGCAGATCCTTCCAAGTCTTGATCCTATCCTTTGGGATCACTTCGGCTCTACATGCCCGACAGCTAAACAAAGTTGCGGCCTCTTTGTTCAATTCCAGGGCTGTCCATGGCACATAATTCTCTGTCTCTGTTACTGATAAAGATTTTGGCGATGAAACCGGGAGACGGTAGCACAGCATTCGCTCTCCAGGTTTGCAGATACGCAAGGCCAAACTAGCAGCTGGGGCAACATTTCCCGGGAGGTTGAGGGGCATGGATTGTCCATCATGATGAAGATTTATGAGACACGGAGAGTCAAGGTCAAGCTTGGTGGTGGAGTTGGAGGGTGAGGGAAGGTGGATAGAGATGGTGATGGATCGAATGTTTTCGAGGAGCTCTGCGTGAAAGCGAGGGGTTGTAGTCATTGCAGAAAGGTGGTCGTCCCGAATCGGAGAGTAGGTTCGAATGGTGGACCGACAGGAGCCAAGACGACATTCTGGGTCACGTGCCTTGGCAAACATGGCTATCCCCTGTTTCCAAGGTGATTTTTTGGGTGTGACACGGGGACAAGTGCTTAAGGAAACATTTACCTTCATGCCATTGTTCACCACTATTGGTGATGGAGAGGATAGATAATAATTATTGGCTGAGGCTACGTTTAGACTTTTCCAGAACCGTTTCGCATGTTTTGCTTATCCCATATGAGACGCTCGAAGGCCGAGCACACCCACCTTGCTCCATATTATTTACCAGGTAACCAGGAATACCATAGAAAGGGGAACGCCGGAACTGTATTCTTGATTTGCCTGATCCGGAACACAATAAATCTTTGGATATTGGAGACCTTGTTTGTCGATGTCACGATATCGGGAGTGGGAGTTGACCTAAAGCCGTACCGTAGTCTGGTAAAGAAAGGTTTTCCCCTGTGGACAGCTGGTATGTAGAGCACGGACCCCACTTAAAAAAAAAACCCTGAGCATTTCACCCCTCCAGCCCCTCCAAACCTCTCTTCCTCCCATCCCTCTTCTCCTCCCTCCTCTTTTCACAACACCACCACCCCCACCCACCCACCTGTCTTACCCCTAGTGAAGAAGGCATTATTTTCACCAAACAAGTCTTGAGGCGGCACAATGAGCAGTAAGGTTTTTATTCTCAAGTCTAGGGACGGGAAACCCCTCAAATTAGACACCGCTGTAAGTTTACAAAGAATCTTCGAGAAAAGAACCTACCATCGCCACAAAGTCGCGCAGTACGCTTACGTATTACTTTATAATAGGCCGACATTGAACCGCATATCGCTTCCCTCGAGGGCAATGAGACGGTGGAGGAAATCCGACTCTGCGGCCACACATTTGGAATCAAAGCCTGCAAGGCACTCGCAGAGGTCCTGAAAACAAACAAGAATCTGCAGGTACGTAGCGCTGTTTCCACTGAAGTGAAGAAAGCTGACGTATGCTCTTTACAGGTCTTCAACGCAGCCGACATCTTTACCGGCCGCCTTATCTCTGAGATTCCGGACGCACTTTCAGCGCTACTGACAGCGCTCTTGACCCTTGAGCATTTGCATACCGTCGATCTCTCAGACAACGCCTTCGGGGGCCGTCTTGCCGATACTCTGGGAGATTTTTACGCCCGGGCCGGTCCATTACGGCACTTGTTGCTGAACAACAATGGTCTCGGTCCTGCAGGTGGCATCATAGTCGCCAACTCGATTCGTCAACTCGCAGTTCTCAAAGCCTCGACCCCGGCATACCCTCCCCTTGAAACCATCGTTTGCGGTCGTAACCGCCTCGAGAATGGGTCCATGGCGGCATGGGCAGAGGCTTACGCCGCGCATAAGTCGCTGAGGACAGTCAAGATGGTGCAGAACGGTATCCGACAGGAGGGCATCAGCGCGCTCTTGAGAGATGGCCTTTCGAAGAACCACGGGCTACAGACTTTGGACTTGCAGGACAATACGTTCACAGCAGCAGGGGCCTATGCATTGGCAGCCGTTGTAACGAACTGGAGTGACCTACTAGAGCTAGGGGTTGGAGATTGTCTACTCTCTGCCCGGGGAGGAGTATTGCTAGGGGAGGCACTAGGACTAGGGAAAAATAAAGCGCTCAAAACTATTAGACTTCAGTATAATGAAATCGACGTTAAAGGTGTTGAAGCTATCAAAAGGGCTATCAACCCTTCTCTCCCGAAACTTCAACGGTTAGAGCTTAATGGAAACAAGTTCTCGGAGGATGAGTTAGTCGTCGAACAAATGCGAGAAATCTTTGGAGATAGAGGATTCGGCGAACTAGATTCCCTTAGCGATATGGAGGAGGAAACCGACGAGGAGGACGAGGAGGACGAGAGCGATGAGGGCGAAGACGTCGTCAAACAGGCCGAGGAAGCAGAGGACGCAAAGGTCCCACAGGAAAAGGACAAGAAAGTCGATGCCCTCGCGGACTTACTCGATGGAGCAAAGATTGCATAAACAAAAAAAAAAAAAAGGTTGCACCCGAATCTCGTATGAATACTAGGTTGAGGCAAAATTTCCTCTTTCTCGTGTCATCGGGGTGGGCACGGACGGGGGAAGATGGTGTTCGTGTTTTGTCTTGTCCACCTTTCTCTCCTTAATTCCCTACTGTATCCCAATAAAGCCGGATGGCGTTCTTTGTTACTCAATCATTGATCCTTCCTTTCTTCCCTTCCTGTGTTTACTGGTTGTTTTAGAATACACTCATCCCTGTCAGTATGATATCCCTCTATACTATTTTATGTAACGTAACGTCTTCAATTCCTAGCCAGTTTTGTGGCTGGGTACACAGTGAACCGCCGCCGTTGTTTGACATGTGGGGAGTCGATAATATGGATGTGCGAAGATAGCTACAGAATATACCGTAGTGGTCTACACCATCATCACTACCTGACACCCACCAAACCCCCCGGAACCGGGAGGAGTGAACACCAACCTCCCCGCACCCATTACTCGAATGCTAGCGGGAGTGGTCCGGCTCGGGCCGGGGATCCAAAGATCTCACGTAAAGCGCGCAAACCGACCAATTCCCGGAGCACCTGTACCCCACCTAACCAAACAAAGCATATTACTCATCCTCACAACCCCGTACGAGTAAGATACCACGATAACCGTAGCCCACTCACTTAGAGGCACACAAAATATCACTCGCAAGGAGCACTAGCGCGCACCCTGGTCGCTATCACAGCACCCAACACCCGGCTATTCGGAAGCAGGAGGGGGATAGCTACGATACGTAAAAGGTCTGTACGGGATCACCCACTACCACAGTGGTGAGTCATGGATATTGGATTTGCGAAGCGAGCAAGGAAGGGTGGGGTAGGTGGTTATAGTTGTCAAATTCGTACGTACCGTCTAATTAAGTTATCAAGATTTAGGACTTTTTCCCGTGAACGCTGACAACAACATAGTGTCACCACTTTTACTAATTCACTTCGGTGTAACGATTCTAGATCATGTTCAGAAACATGCCTTCGCTTTTAGTTGGTGGTTTAAGTTCTTATAAATAAATAAATAATAATAATAATAATAATAATAATAAAAGCCTGTGACTGAATTTGGGACGGTAGTGCTTCTACGGTACGGTATTATAGTCATCCAGCACCTCTGAGACGCGGAGTGGGGGGGGGGGGACGACAGAAAGGCGAGACAGGTCTCGTCTTTAGGCAAGGTGTCTGGCTATGATAGTGGTCTAACTGCGAACGACAACTCGAGGAGAATTGCTTGATACGCCAGGTAAGGTATCATATTGTATCATACGCACTAGCACTGCGACAAGTTGTGGTAGAGGAAGAAAAAAAACAGCCGTACCGGTAACTGCACCTCTAAATCACTCAGGCGGCCAAGTTGAATCTGGAACTCTTTTGCAGGGAAATTTCTAGCTTGGGATGTCCGGCTTCTACCTAGCGGCATGAGCACAAATGTGACAAATGCAGTTAAACAATGAGGCAAGAGGTTAAAAGGGTTCAATCCGCAACTATCTCTATCATACTCGTATTATAATTATTTTATACTCGAGTACAGTACGGTACCTGCAGAAGCACGTGATGGTGGATGACACTGTTAACCAGCAAGGGGGGAAACATGAAGTCAGTCCGAACATCGGAGGTTCCACTACTCGAATACTGGTAAATTAGTCCCCAACGGGCGGGGACGAACAAGGATTAGTGTGATGATGATAAGTATTTTTTGTTACCCTACCTTGACGGGTTCACTTTTCTTGCCTTATGATACCAAATAACATCAAGTTCCCCTTGCTCTGGTATTCGAGGGGGCCCTATTGGGGACGTGCAACGCTCCTGCTGGCCGTTGGACTCGTTTGAGATGGATTCCTTGACACATTTTGACACATCTCGGCAGACCAGTATCCCCTAGTCATCCATTGTATTTACCGCTCGTTGCCCTAACTTATGGCTCCATGGGCACAATGACATATAACAACAACAACAATTGCGGAAACAAGTGCTTCCTGTTCGAGACCCCGTAAAGTCCCAGAAGCAAAATGAAGGATTGGACTATCGGTAGGTGGTCCTGAGGCCGTATGATGGCTGTCGACTGGTGAGTGACGGCGTCACTGCAGTCACCGCTCGAGCACTCGAGCAGAAGCAGTGCCAGTCTGACTGCCATCGACTAAAATTGGTCAATGCACACACACTAGTGCTACAATAAGTTAAAACAAAAATAAAAATAAGGTACTGTACTTGTAAAACAAGTAAATAAAATTTTAAATTCTAATGGGGTAATATGATATCCATAAAAGGAAACCCAGGACTAGTGCCGTCCGACTGCCATCACCCCGTCCAGTCTGTCCAAAGATGAAACATTCTCATCCTCCGTCGTCCTGACCCTGTCTAGGACGGACTGGACGGCTGGAAGCACTGAGCAGAAGTAGTCCTTGCCCTTATCGTCCAGGCATCCTTGGCGTTGCCTAGCCCAAGACGAGGACTAGGAAGTTGGAAGCACAAGTTACCAGCTCTAGTCCCGTCTCAATGCGCTCACATTACGGTGCCCTACCGGTACTAGGGATTAACTTAGAGCTCTCAAAGCTTCTTGCCTGTTTGAGCAATCTCCATCCCAAATTCATTCATTTATTTCCTATGAGGGTATGATATCGCATTGACCGCTCAGATTAGACCCGCCGCCACCGGACACTGCACTGTGGAAGGTTTAGTATGGCGGGCAAAGAACAATAACAAAGCGCAAAGTTGGTATTGGTACTGGCACTAGCATTGCCATACTGTACTCGTACAAGTGGAAAGAGGACTCTAAGCTTATTGGAGGTTCTTGTTAGCGGTGGGTCGAATTTGAACAATCAATGCGGTATTGTAGTACGGTACGGTCAAGCCCGCAGGATCCCTAGCTGTCCGGTAACTCATGTCCGTGCCCTGGAACATAGAGTATGATATGATACTTGTACATATGATACCATAGGAACCTGGCACTGACGCATCCTGCCAACTTTGCCCTAAACTACTACACAGTTCGGGACTTGCGGTAGGGGCTTATCTCCGCCTCTCTCATTTTTCTTGGCTGGCTGCCAAGTTATGAAGGGCGCTTCAATGATACTTGTAGTACAAGTATCATACCGACGCCCTTCGATCTACTCGAGTATCGGATACCGGAGTTAACCATCAGAATACAGGTAAATCTTCCGGGGCGAGGGAAATATGTTTTTCTTTCTGCGCCGAGAGAGACTCAGGTTTCTTGTATTTGTTCGTATTGCCTTGTAGCACAGTGTGCACACGGCGGGTTCAGCGGACGGCGTGAGGCCGGCAGACGGGTGGGGGGGGGATATCGAGGGGTTAACAATCCGAGGGTCAGGAGGCGAGGGGGGTGAGGGTAGGATACCAGTATGGACACGCGTCTTAGTGGTCTTCTATGATGCCCCACGGGGTGGAGGAGTTAGGAGGATTGGTGGGCTCTTTTCTCGCTGCCATACACGAATACTTGCAGACCCTTGGGGAGTTGGGAGATGGTTTGTCGGCTCCGGTGGCTACGCCGTGGTGTGCTCTTGTTTGGCGATTCGTGATACTTCGGAGCAGGCGCACTGTCAATTGTCGTCCAAAGGCTTGCGGTTTGTTATTGCTTGAATTGATTTAGATGTGTGGATATGAAGTCGAGCTATCATTCACGCACGGACTCCGCGACTACCGACATCCTTATTAAATATTGAATTATTAAATCACTTGTAACCGCTATCCGCTAAAACGTGACACCTAGCGACCCAGTTCGCAAACCGCACACGTGCTTGCTTGAAGATCTGGCAAGCCAAAGCGTGTTCCACGACAGAATAACTCCCCTTCCTTCGATCCCTCCAACTTTTCTTCGGATTCGGATCCTCCGAAGGCCATAGCTCTTGATTCCGTCTTTCTGCACTTTATGGATGTTCGTCGGAATGCGCAATTTCCCTCCGACCTCATGAGCACCTACCTGGGCCACCCCTCTTATACCGTTGTGGGACCTGCTATGTACTTGGCCTGCTCGATTCCGGACCTATTCCTGATTTTCCCGAGTTGCTGTCTCGTTGGCAAGCTGCCAAGAGACATGATCAGCAAGGGTTAATATAAGCCGCCGATAAGCTATCGTAGTTATATGACTGCCCGATCTTTGAGCCGTAGTCCCGGGATGACTGGCTCACCGCTCCCGTTTGGACAGTAAATCCCTGGAACACAAAACAGTCCCATTGGGGAACTAGAATTTGGCGTGATAGTGGAACGGGAGCCAGTGGATAACTGATCCTGCTTTTTTAGTCTATTTTCTATCAGTAGATGAATCCATCCTTCGCAAAAAAGAGAATGGCCAACACCAGCACTTCCTGCTCGATGCTAATTTGTGCCGACCCTCTAATTGACAGATCCCCCTCGTTCACCCCCAACGCCCCTAGTATGATATTTCTTCCTTTCCTGAAAGACAGGTCCTAAACGGCCCCCCACTCGATAAACCAAATTGTCACTCACTGTGCCCTAACTGTGCCTCCTCGGAGTCCACGTACATGATACAGGTATCAGGGCGGCAATTGAACAGGAGGATGAGGCTAAAAGTGCTCAACGCAAACAACCCTCCCCACGGAAACATATGATACTGCGAAGGATCACGGGGGGTACAAGCACCGAGGGGGGGGGGGAGGTACCCTGTCGAGACAAGGGCTTAAAAAGAGCCGCACTTCCGGCCGGGGGTTTTGTCTTGTTTTATTTACTTCTTTCCCGAAGATGGCGCATTTGACAGAAAGGGGACCCCCAACTTGACAAGTAGTGTACCGTATTTCTAGGCAGGGGCTTTGTTGTGTCGTGGTGGTGGCGATGGTGGGGTCCCGTCGAGAGAGAACACAGGAACTTTGGTGGACATTGCGGAGATCCCGAGTGACTATCGGTGACAAGGGTGTGGTTACTAAATTTCACGAGACACAGTAGATAATAAATATTATGATAGTCAAAAAAAAAAAACTTGGTTTTTGGTGTGTGGAACACAATCGCGGCTCTAAGGGATTCATGTCTCTCCCCCACAATTTCATGATCGCACCCCTGCTCACTATTCGAGCAAGCGGCGAAGGCAGTTGACCACTACAATGCTTACACTTTTTGCCTCACCTCAGTGGCATGGCATGGTGTGGTCGATCATAGCTTGATATCTCTTATTAATCTCCCCCGTGGAAGCCCCGAGATTCGCCTACCATGCTTGCTTAGCGTATGATGAATTCTTTCCAAATGCTTCCATATTAAGCTTGATGTTTCAAAGGCTAAATACCAATATCAGATTGGGTCGCTATACGGTACATCTCACCCCCCAGAAGCTCACTTTGCCGCAACACCCCCCTTCCGGCCCTCCTTCTGGATTAGGATGAAGGGGCTCATTCATAAGCGATCCTACAGGGAGTGGAAGGGGGGAAGGAAACTCTTGTCTTTCCCCCTCGATACCCTCATAAACCCTGGTCGAAAGTGACAGCGCAAGGGAAGTACAGGAGAATAGGGCACCACTACGAGTACCGCTGCTAAAAGCCCCCCCCGGATCTGAGGAGAGGGATGTGTCACTTGCTTTTCCCCTCGTGGACGAGGCTCTTTTACCGCTCCGCTTTTAGATCACTCCCTTTCCGCCGCCCGCTCGGTCGCACAAGTGCTCTGTCGGTCCGTTTTGATTTTCTCCTTCTGATTCACTCGCTCCCCGTCACCTCTGGGTTACTGGGCCCCGGCCCAAACAAGTACTATAGTCATACCGACTGTTAATATAGAGTACGGAGATCGCTCCCGTTAGCATGGCTGAGGCTCTGCATGTAAGTTACGGAACTGTACCAGGCCCATCTAGTCTAACTTTAATAAATAAAGCAACCCTAAACGCCAATGCCCTATAGGCTCATTCTCTAGCAGCACATACAGATTTTCTTATATTGGTATTAGCTGGGTGATGAGAGTTTTAATGCCGTTTTTTTCTTTTTTCTTTTCATGAGAATGCTCTACTTATGCTATACTCTTTTGAAAAAAGTGGAAGGGAAAAGAGATATGATACGATAGTTGATCTCTCTTACACCAGTTTCTTTTTCCATCGAGGCTCAGCGGGTATGTCGAAAGTGCTTACCCGCAGTGCGTCACCCCGGTAGCATTAAACGAATCCATTCAAAATCTGCAGGTATGATAATAATAATAATACTTGTAATATAATAATAAATGAAGGGAATTCGGATAGGCTTGGACGTGGGTAGCGGACACTGGCCCATGGTCAACCCGGCCGCAGTTACGCCCCCCAGTGCTGCTGCATCTGGGGGAAAGAAAGAGTTGTGATATTGCACCGGTCAAACTGGTGCGAGGAGACTTGTGTCTGTGTGCAAGAAATGGTACAGGGGGAGAAAAGTAAAAATAAGAACAATATACGTTGCATACGGCGACAAAAGAGCGCGCCCCGATATGGGTTCTAGCAGCAATACCACTTCATGCTACTTTCCTTTTTTGGGGGGTTGGCCTCACCGTTCGTTATGTGGATTTGGAGAGGTCAAGCCGGGACTTCTTTCGTGGTATACCGTCTTAGGGGATGGAGCAGAGAGAAAGGAAGAGAGTGGTTTGCCAGTGCCCCAATTGGATCAGATCATCATGGGCTGAGGTGATAGGCCAACCCTCTACCCAACATTCCTGATACCGGGTGGGGAATTTCTACGAGTACGGTACGGTATGATACGCTGATAGTAATGGTGAAATCTAGCTATTTTTCCCCATTTTTTCTGTCCGTCTTCCCCCCCACAAGGACCCTGAAAGAGAGGAGGTTTTCTCGAACCTCGATCCAGGGCACGGTAAGTCGGCAATATCAGGGCTTAGAGGGGGAAACATGATGATGATGAGGTGGTGATACGGCGCTAGTGGTGTTGGATGGACCTGTGGGTGATTAGATTAACTTATGATACCGGTCTGGATTGCCTGGGTATGATACGGTATGATATAGTACGAGAACTAGGGTACAAGTACACCGTGACCCTTAATAATTGTTCCGAGAGGCCTGTTACTGGGCAGTGCTTAGACTATCGTACCACGAGGACCTCCGATAACCTCCCTAAGGCACCTTGAGATTGGTTGGAGGTTAGTTTCTTGTCTCACATTAAGGTATTGGTCTCCTACTGGTACTGTACTTGTACTAGTTCTAGTACACAGTCGCTGCCAATTGGTCAAATATTAGTAATGCCGACCCACCGCTGATCAGTGAGGACCGCGTATCTAGGCCCCTGGCCACCAGCGATCGCAGCTTAGCCAGTTGCAGTACCGGTATGTACAGTATCAGAAGCGGGTGTTTTCCCAGGGATCTCCCGAGTCAGTAAACAGCCCCACCGACAGTCCGTGTTTTCACAGACCCTCGAGGATGCGCGCCAAAAGCGCTGAGCATAATCCGGACATCCATTCAATTGCAGGAAGGCTCTTCACAGCAACAGGTCCACAAAGAAAACTCAGTTCGATGCTACAAATTCAAGGCACGATCAGAGCTGTAACCCATGAATGATAGGTTCTGGTTGACCCTGAACCTATTCCTCCTGGTTGCGATACAAGTAGACCATCTCACCTGCAGGGTCTCAGTCAGAAGTACGGTGAGATGGGATGAATTTTGGGAAACAAATGGCGGCGGTGCACCACCGGGCATCTACTCGAAAACCAGGCAAGTTTTGCTTCTAATACTCGAGTACATATGGAGTAGTCCAATATACCCTCAAAGTATCCAGTCTTCCTACACGCACCCCCTTCCTAGACAAGAGCTTCTAATTTGAATCTTGGCTCCATCTGTTCCGGGCTTTCCTTTCCCCCTTCCTCCCTACCGTACGTTTCGCTTGGCGGTATAACGACCGTGACCGAGCATCGTCTAAGGGCGTTTACCGAGCGAGTTTAATTTTTCACCCCCCCCCTCTCGGCTATGGCTCTTAAGGCGTCAATGCGGCGTAAATTTTCTAAACCTCCTTCTGTTAGAGCTATCAACTCTGTTCGTGGGAGCTTGACTACCGGTACTGTACGAGCACTACCGGTACGATACTTGTAACCTAACGATAGTCGAGCCGATAATCGTCACGGCAAAGTTCCTGGTTTTGTATTACAGGTTACGTGTATTCGGCTCTCCTCTTCTTCCTCCTGTCCTGGCTGAGCTTCTCAATCGCTGAAGGGGGGAAACATTTGTCAATCCGCATAGCTTCTGCCGCGCGCTGTTCCCGGCTTCGAATGTACAGTACTGTATAAGTACAGGCACACTCGTGTCCGCAAAGTTTCTCGCAGTGTCTGCAAAGTCTTGGCAGTCTTCAACCGGAGGATTGCAGAAGCTATTTACGGGGAAAAAAAAAAAGTGAATGTCCTCTACAGAATCTGCCATTACTAGATTAAAAAAAGATTTCTCGAACGAGAGTCGTCCCTGTCTTACTATCTGGAGCTGGAGTTGGTAGGTGCCTGAGGTGCAACGAGGATCATGCGGATGCGTGTGTACCGTTACTGGATTTTGCGCGTGAGAGTGTGGTGTCCGGGCTTGGATGAGGAGGGCCAGCCAGTAGCGGGCGAGTCACGCTTGCTCTTGTTTAGGAGGTGGTGGGTGCCGGGCGTGAGGGGGAAAGCAAGAGTGCCGTACCACAATGCCCGCATGAGCCCGCATCGCTCGCATCATCGCATCGTCCTTTCTCTCCTACTTAGACTACTCGTACACCCCCCCTCCCTCCTCCCCTCGTACACACACCCTTTTCGTCCACCCCAGTCAACCACACCCCACACACCCCACACCCCCCTCCCACCCCCCTCCACAATCCCTATCCCATCACCAAGGCTGAGAGGCAGAGAGAGACGAACTTCTCTTGACCATCCCCCCCCCCACATCATTGACCTTGCCCTCTTGTCAAAGTAGAGGGCTTGCGCCGGTGGTGTATTTAATGTTCCGGTGAGGCTCCAATCGAAGTAGGGAAATTTTGGATGTCTAAGAAGCTCTTGGCCGTTGGATATTACAACTACTCGAGTACTTATTGACCAGGCGCTCCGATCAAATCAGCTTTGAAATTTCCAGCCAATCTTGGAGAAAAGGTCGGGGAACTGCATCGACATCTCATTCGCCTTCCAAGAATTTCGAAAGCTCCCCCGCTCCCCACACCTAGAGACCAGCAAACCTCAAAGGCATACTCGTACTCACTCATATAAACACGCTGCACATCTTACAGAAGCTTGTGATTCTTCTGATTTGCGCTCTACAGCTTCTCTTCCTCTCGGTTGGGATTTAGATCAAATAATTCCAAATCATTTCGATAACAAATCAACCGAAGACAACAGCTGTAACTATCCTCAGTGGCTCTACACTGTACCAGAAGTGGACAACTTTGCCCACCACAGCTCGTATCGATACCTGCAACCATAGGAGACATGGACCCCTACGACTTCTCCTCTTACACACGAAACCATGTATACGAAGCCACACAGTCGAAATCGCCAGGTTCGGATGGAGCGAGTCCTGCAGAACGTGAGTATGGAATTGTGTTCTTTACTCAGGCACTCGGGAGAATATTTCTCCCGGGACAGTTCAATAGAAAGGTAGGACCGGAATAAAGCTTTTGCTAACGGCAAAGCCCTTTTCTACAGGTTCAGAGAGATCCTCTTCATCCAGATTTAGCTTCGGGCCCCTTAAGATTGGGTCACCGTGGAATAAGGGTTTGTTGTCCTAATTATTTCACTCTCTATCTATCCCGAGCCCCTAGTTGTGTCTCATGCCTCATTGCAGGGGTTGCATCGGCGAGATGCACACTACCCTTCCAGATCATTCAAGCACCTAGATATCTGTTGTATTATTCCTTTATAATGAATCTCTCTGCATACGAATTGCTACAATTATCACAAATTGCTATGGATAGCTATTTTCTCCCAAAAAAGCATTTGTCGGCTTACTAACAATGCGAGTTGCTATACAGATGGAGAGAAACCAAAACGCCGTGGGCCAAAACCAGACTCAAAGCCCGCTTTGACAAGGCGTCAAGAATTGAACAGGCAGGCGCAGAGGTTCGTTTTAAAATATATAAATAATATATAAATTTCGCCCAATTTCCACGTCTTGTCGCCTTCACTTCCCAAGCAATCCCCGCCACCCTCGAAGCACCCGCAAACATGGATCCAACACTTACTAACTCCCGACCTTCTTACTCTTCAGGACACACCGCGAGCGAAAGGAACGGTATATCAAAACAATCGAAGAGGAGGTTGCTCGGTACGTCACCACTCACTTCCACAGAGATAGGGTATAGCGAAGTCTTACACCTAGCCAGTCTACGAGAAGCATTCACAGTGATCACCAGAGAGAAGACCGCTATGGCGGAGGAGAATAGACGACTGAGAGCTATTCTTGATGCTCATGGAATTCCCTACGATTTTCAGGACGTCTCCCCAAACGTTGGACAGCGGCCGCGGCACGATGAGTACCAACAGGCACCAGAGATGGAGAGATTTGGGTCAACTTACGATGGGATTGGGATCGATTTTGTCCTGGCGTAAGCACTTCCTATTCTTCCCCTGATGTTTTGTATTTTTATTATTCATTTCCTTCCTTGATTTTTTCTCTTTTTTTCATTTCCCGTCTTTAGCCCAATATATTCAATACCAAATTATGGGGTGGGGATGGTATGGTGTTGCTATTTGGAGTATAGAAATAATCTGTACCGCTCCGGACTCATTCGATAGAATCCTGCAGTGGTGTGGTTTATCTCGGTATGTTCACTGGCAACATCATAGGCCTGCGGTTACCCCCCACCCCCGGTATTGTTTGTAGAAGGAACATGCCTGCCCCGGTCCCGTAAAACTTAAATTCCCCTTACAACCTTATTTTATTTTATTTTATTCAGTCCAGAAGGGATAAAAAGAGAAGCTGACCGGTAAACCGCTAAGACACGGATAGTCTGGAGAAGCCGTGCATGGACCACATCCAAATATTGACTGCCAATTCCATGACGAGCCCTGCTTCGGATTTCCACGGACATGCACTGATGGCTTCCTGTCCTTCTGAAAGCAACACTTCACGCCACGCCGAGGTACCGCGGGGCAGTAAGACTTTTGATGTGGGGCCTAGTGAATTAGCAATTTTGTTTAATTTGTCCAATCGACTAGAGTTGGATGGAGAGTTGACGCCAATCGCGTAAGTTCGAATTATATATATTGTTTCATTCTTTCGTTTTCGTCTCAAGTTTTTCACTTTGTTCTTTTTACTATATACTTGTTATTTTGTTATGCGGAGTTTACGTGTGTGCTTTTTTTTTTTTTTTTTTTTTTTGGCGTTGGAAATGAAATCCGTCTCTTCGAAAGAGGAAAGCGAAATATCAAAAAAAAAAAATCGAAAAAAAATCGAAAAAATCAAATCAAAAGATCAAGTGATATCTTTTGGAACTCTCTATCTCCATCTCTCTCTCTCCGTCTCTCTCTCTCATTCGCTCTCTCTCATACCTCTCTATTGATTCTCCTCAACAATGTACAAATAAATAACCCGAGTGAGTGGTGTGAAAATCAGTGTATGGGCTCATGTCACGAGACACGAAAGGTTCGCCGATCTCGAAATGGCGGACTTCAAGGCGCTCGAGAAGACCCTCTTGGATAAGGTCAAGTGTCATGGGTACGTATATATATATATATATATAATACGTATGGGTCTATAGGTGTCTAGAACCACACCTCCGTGAAGGACTCTATACCCTTATGCCTTATTTTTTTTCACTTGCTGACAGGTTGGTGTGGTGGCTCAATTTTAGATTCGGAGCGGTGGTCGAGGAGTATGAGGTCGTTGATGCCTTGTCTGAGATTATTGCGAAGAGGTTTGGTGGTGGGGGGGATGTTGGAGGTGGTAGCTAAGCTGAGTATTCTTTTGGGAAAGGACTCTCTACGAGTACCGTGTTTTATGAGCATGCTTTTCTTTTTCTTTTCCTTTTCTCTCTCTTTGCTTTTTACCCTATCACGACGATGTTAGCTTTCCCCCACCAGATCGCGCTGCCCGCCTGTTTGTCGTCTGTCGTTTGTCCCCTTCCTTGCCGTTCGTTTATCAGCGTATGATTCACTGTCTACCCAGCGAGCACAGTACAAGTATGGCACTGTCATCCCTTCATGTCCTCTCCGTGTCTTTTTTAACCATACGCAAAAAATATACTCACCACACACACAAGCTATACCATCGAGCTTTATTGTTGATCCCTTCACATCTAAAGTGACACACCTACTATATCATGCTCTACCGTACCCGCCCTGCCTTGCTCGCCCACCGTTTTTTACCGTATTGGAAGAGGTATGATATGATACGATACCATAGCGCTCTGCCTCAAGCCCAAGCCCAAGCCCAAGCCCAAACTCCCTATGATACTGCACATGATATCATATCATACCTTCCCTTGGCCTAAACTTCTAAATCTATATCACGCATCTCAATCACCGATAACTGCCGTGCGATACTTCCACCTGCGAATTCGACCAGCGATTTATTATACCAACCAACGCACAGGGGAAACTCACCAACCCGTAAGGTCTACTCCCGCGGCCGAGTTGTGAGGTTGGACACCCAAGGTTGCAATTCCAATAGAGAGTGTCCAACATCAACTCGGCCACGGGAGTACTACCCCAAACAGTTGGTCCCCTAGCATATGGGTATGTGACCTCGGCCGAAATCCAGAAGAGGAAAAAAAACGAGATTTTCTCAAAGAAGAGGAGGATCTCGGGGGGAGCCATCCACCCACCGATAGATTGATCGAATTGATAAACATTATGCAATGATGTGTATTACCGTCGCTCTGTTAGAGGTTTCCTCCCCGCCCTGCATTGTGGGGCTTCACAATAACCATCATATTATCAAAAACGTTTGATCAACAACGGGTTTGTTAAAGTTAATCATGGGGTAGGTAAATCATACTCGGACGAAAAGGATGGGCATAACTTAATATCGTACTCTCGTAAGGTTATCATAATACGCCTGCATATATATATGTGTATACTATTTGGAAACTTATTTGAGTATTATAGGTTGCGGGGGGAGGGGGAGGGGGGCGTTGTTAATTTAGTTGCTACCATCATTACCAACATTTATATATATTATTATTACAATATTATTGTGGTGGTTGTCCCAACGATTCCTCGATTCGGTCTCGGAAATCTTTTTTTTGGAGGGGGGGAGTTACGGTACGGTACAGGTAGGTCTACCGGCAGTATGATAAGTGGTCTTATAGTCTATGAGTTACGGTAGCTGGTGATCAGCAATTGAAGTTCCATGGACTATCATACCGGTATCCTACCATTTATCAGGTTAGAGTGAGTTAATCACGTGATAAATTTGGGGGGTTCTTTTCCTTTTTTTGGTTGTCTCATCAATGCATCATTGCTAACGACGACAACTTCCTTGCCCAACAAATATATCCCCCCACATACCGGTAACTCATCCTCCGTCCATTCCTTCTCCTCCTCCTCCTACAAGCACACCCCACAAGAGGGAGAGATAGAGAGAAGAGAGAGAAAAGGGTGAGCGAGTTCCTTTTTCAACAGATAGATATAAAAAAAAAAAAAAATAAGAAAAAACATGACAGACTCAGAAGTCTACTTCACCATCCTCCGAGTATCCGCCGCACAAACCCTCCGCTCCGCCGGCATAACCGCAGCGAAGCCCTCCGTCGTCGACGCGTTCACAGGTCTTCCTCCCTCCTTCCCCCTCCACTCCATCGCATGCCCCTAGCTAATACAGCCGCCAGACCTCCTAGCCCGCTACCTCACCCTCCTGGGCACTACGACCCGCAACTTTGCCGAGTCCGGCGGCCGCACGCAGGCAGAGTTAATAGATGCCCGCATGGCAATGGAGCACGTCGGTCTCCTCCGGCCGATAAACATATTCAGCAATCCCGACGACGACGATACGGAGGCCGTGGATGCGCTTGTGGAGTGGTTTCGTGGGCCGCAGGCCGCGGATATGAGGAGGGTTGCTGGCCATGCTGAGAAGGAGGGGCAGGTTGGGAAGAGTGATGAGTGGTTGGGCGGTAGGTTTTCCTCTGCTCCGCTCTATCTTTATATATATATATCTGGGATCGTTGGGTTGGTTGGGAAGCGGGGGGGCTAATTGAATGGGATGTAGCTACGAAGAAATTGTCGGAGAAGAGGAATACTACGGTGTAAGATGGGAACCCGATGGGCCGTAGCGGTGGGGAGATCAAGAAAGGTTGTCGTTTGGATGGACGTGGTAATGGCGACGTTGGGTGTAATACGGCGCAGCCGGGATAGAAAAAGCGAGACTAGAAGGATCTCTATATGGGAGAGGAATGGGTGGAAAGCCCAACCGGACCGGAGGTATACCTTTGGCAGCGGACGGCGCACGAGGTATGTGTGGGCCATCAGGTAAACCCACAATACCCATTCCCTCTCTCCTCTCTTTTTTAACATGTATCATAATCACCAGCCCCCGCACCCATCCACGGTGCCAGCGGTATTCCCATATTCCATTCATGTAATAGCTAAGGCGTTCCGGGTTTCTTTCTTTTCGTCTATATGAAAGGTTTATCAACATCTTACATCTATCCCTCCCTTTTCTTCCTTCAATCGCACAGGAGTGCGCAAGAGTGTAACGTTTACTCCACCTCATGCCTTGCTAAGTAAAGCAGACAAGGCAAGTAAGCAAGTGGACAGGACTAACGGTAGACTATTCGTATCCACAACTCGCAAGCTATATAAGCATGATAACTCGCCGGCCGGCACACGGGATGACCCATTAATCGAAGATAACGGACCGAGAATTACCACGATAGCATCGCAGCCACCCACCGTGAGATATAGTATCATTATCATATTATAACATCGCACAAGAAAACGTGGGAATCCCCAAACCTCGGTCCGTCACTCGACCCTCCGGCGGAGGTCGGTTTTTCCACCGTACGCCCAAAGCGACCCGCCAAACCGAACTCCAACATTTCTCTACATGGCGCAGTAGTCTAACGCTATTTACCATTTCAACCTGGTAATACGGTGACTTACAATGACTGGTAACGTGAGGTTGGAATGTATGATACTGGTATTACCTATACATGTATTCGATCACAACCAAAATTTACAACAGGGGTGGACAAAAAAAAAAAAAAAAAAAAAGACCCCCCCACGAAATTATGAATTTCCCGTTATCATGACCAACTATATAGTTTATGAGTTAGGCCTACCCATTATATTTCTTACTTTTTTTTTTCCATTTTTAAGGTTCTATGATACTAGCTGGGGGTCGGAGGGCGTTACGGATTGTTCGATCAAACGCCTTCAACCCGAAGTTTCATGAGTCCAAGTTTTAAACTTAAATTCGGTGCGGTAGGCTGTGCAATCCACTAGACAATGCTGAAGGAAGAGATGAACGAAAGGAGGGGAATAATGACTGGAGGTTTTTTTTTTTTTTTTTTTTTTTTGCCTGTTGGGGTTAAAGTTACCGACGATTGCGCAACAGGATTCGAAGGGTTGAGTTATTGGTGGAGGGGGTCAAAAAAATGTTGTCAGCCACACATTATTCGCTTATTAATCATGAAACTGATATCATATGATATCATCCTCTCAAAAACCAAGTACCGATACCGGTACTGTACCGTATTGGCACCCAAATTTGCACAGCCCCATCTAACACTTTTTCTTGCATATTTTGAACCTCACAAGCCATAAAAGAAAAGGCAACCAGAGGAAAAAAAGAGAGTGGTATAATAAAAAAAGTAAATTACATAGAAGCTGTGAACTCTCCTTTCCACCCTTTCCCTTTCCCCTTCTTGCTATTCCTCCCTGTTCTCTAGTCTTGCGGTGACCCTCCTTAGTTCCTCCCTGACCGACAACTCCAGACCATCGCAACATGCACTGTACGGTACGGCAACATGTACGACACTCATTTTCCGTTCCCAAACCAACCAACCGGCAGATAAAAAAAGAAAAAGGAAATTTCCCTAACCCAAACGAATGCAATTCAATGCGGCGCCAGCAACAAAAACGGGACAAAATGGGACAAGACACGAGACAAGGAAACTAAAGGACAATCAAACGTTGTGATTTTGATTTTGATTTTTTCTTCTTTTCCAGACAGCAAAATGGAACCCACCCACCCGATGGGGCGAGGGAGAATGTCGAAGAGGAAAAGAGTTATGATACTAACATTTTTAGCTAACAGTAGAGGAAAAATGATAATTCGGACGCGGAAAGGAAGGAAGAAGGGGAGGGGGAAAAAACGGAGCGTAGGGGCCCCTCTAGCGTCCATACAAGATGGAAGCAGAAGAGGTAGGAGATAGTGGTGGAGAAGAAAGGTACAGTATGCTAGTTAATATAAGTAATGTGAAAGGGTTGAAAAGAATCAAAACAATTCCTATAAAACGGGGGAACAATAAGAAAAGAAAGCCCCACCCTCCCCTCTTAATGTCCAAGTTATCGTACCCCATACTCCAATCCCAGATGCCAAAAAAGAAAAAAAGAAAAAGGAAAAAGGAATAAGGAATAAGGAATAAGGAAAAAGGAAAAGGACCATAATAACATCCATGAACGGAGATAGTGGCAGTAGCAGTGGCAGCAATGGCAACGGCGGCAGTATCTATAGCAGTAGCAGCAGCTATAGCAGTAATAGTAGCAGTAGTTATAGTTGTAGCAGTAGTAATAGTGGGTAGTTGTAGTAGTAGGGGTAAGTGTAATAATAGTACGAGAATGTGGGAGGTTTGACAACAACAAACAAACGAATAAGCAACCAAGCGAGCAAGGCTCGAGCAATCAATCAATGGATATCACAACGAAGATAAAGAAAATAATTTCACCTGCACACGAAAAAAAAGCTGAACCTTATGATAAAATATAAAAAAACCCGTAAAAGAAAAGAGAAGAAATTGCCAAACCAGAAGGGGAAAAGGGAAGGAGAAAGGAAAAATCCAAGTCGGGAGAACGAAGATACCCAAATGCGGGAAACGGGCAAGCTATTTTGATTAGGAAAAAAAAAAGAGGCGGATTAAACGAAACCAAAGAATACTCTCTGAGACTAAAATACCTTCCCTCCATTGACCAGATACTCGGGTTTCCCCTTTATACCTTATATTCCAGCTTCCGTTTTATACGCTCCCAACCGGCCCCGCTACACCGCGCCAACCCCCTGCGGTGGCTGTGATCGGACTTGGTTGTCTGGTCTTCTGCCCCACTGCTGCTGCTGCTGCTGCTGCTGCTGCTGTTGATGTTGGCGGGGATATCGATTGTCTGTGTAGCCGTTTTGTCCACCTGGTGTCCCATGACCGTTTGGATTTCCTTGCCCATTTTGACCACCCTGCTGACCATTCTGTCCCATCCCATCATCTTGGCTCGACCCAGAACCTCCACGTCCATGGCGTCGGTGATACTGATTGGGATCACTGTTTCCACCGGGTACACCTAGTGGTGCCTGAGAATGTTGCTGCTGCTGGGAAGGCATCCCGACATGGCGCGCAGTAGTTTCCTTCTGCCATGCAACATTCTGAAAGGGATCGGTGTCAACGCGATGAAATACCGGTGTAGTGGGCTGTCGACCATCCTTGGATTTTGGTGGCGAGCTCGTGGCCTGAGGGGTGCGGGCTGGCGTTGGTTTGTTAACTAGATCTCCATAACGCTTGAGGATATCTTTCGTGGTGACGTCGGCGCCATGCGAGAATAGGTTTGTGTCGTTAAGTATAGATAGCAGATCTTCGGGAACCTATTTTAAGACAACTCAATGGTGTTCTAACAAGGATTAAAGCAAATGAACAAAGATCTCACCTCACACATAGCCTCATTACACAGTATAAGTGTGTGCACAGCCTCAATCGCCAAAAAGCTATCATCCATCCCGGCTTCCGCTTTCTTTGAGGAGTAAAGGATATTGGGCGTAATAACCGTCGCTAGGTTGTGAATGTCCATCTTACTGCCTGATTCTTCGTCGATGTGTGAAAAAGATGCAACCCAGTTAAGGAAGGAAAATAGGATCTCCATGGAGTCCCTATGGCTCTTAGGCAGAAGACAACAGGCGAGATGAAGAATACGTCGTTTCTTATCCTCATCAGTGATTCCTATGTCACGCGTTAAATCACAATACCCCAATAACAAAACTCGAGTGAAATACATACTCTGGGTTGTGACGAATAATCGATGGAGTTTAAATGTTAATAACGGATCCGGAAGCTCACGTAAAAACTTCTTCAGAAGGGCGGCAATTTGGACAGGGCCCTCAGAGGACATCTCGACATGTCCCTCGCCTCTATCTATCGCCTCCGCGAGTTCCTTGAGCCTTCGAATGTTTCCATTCTTTCGGAAAACCCCTTCAACGGACATGTCTGTTCAAAGCATCAGTCATCTCGCCTGAATAACGAAAAATAGTTAGGGGAAATATCATACCCATTCGCCGCATCGCAACCACTGCGTCATCTAGTATTGCCGGTATTCGTAAGGCGCCTGGGCCGACGCCCATGCTCGATTCCGCGCCATCTCTCTCGGCAAGTTGGTCCAATGCCACGCCAAAGACACCTGTTTTTGTAAGCTTCAAAGCCCCAATTTTGCGTATGACAAGACCTGCGAAAAGACCTTTCTTTTTGCCGCCTTTTTTCTTCTCAGTGGGCGTAAATGCTTTGCCAAATTTCCCCCAAAAAGTCTTCTTATTTGTTTCAATAAGACCCAATAACTCCTCCAAGTTGAAATGGCCCTCCACCAAAGGCTCCATTGACAAGACCGCGATATGTCGAACAATGAAATAGTCGATGGCCGACAGTTCTGAGAAATAACGCTTAGCGGACCTCAGTTGCGTAGGCGGTGCTGGCTCTCTGGGGCCCTCCATCTCACGCAGCATATCACCCGAAATATCCCTCTGGTTCCCATTAATCAGACGCGGCTGCCCCGGTAAGGTGGGTTCGTAGGGATTATGCTTCTGGTGCCTAAAGGCATTTGGACGTTGTTCTCGAGCTTGCTCGGCTGCAACAATCCTAGGTATATCATCTAGAGTAAGTATCTTATCATCGCCGAATGTATGTTCGACAACATGCTCCCCGTTGATATCTCGATCCTCAACTATCCGGAATTGGGCTGTATCTCGACGCCTGTCCCTATCTGGTCCACTAAGTGCACCTTCCGACGACCCTGGTCTTACACTATCAGCTTCAGGTCCCTCAATAATGCGCGATTGCCGAGCTTTCTTTGCCGAGCTCCCAAGCTGCCTATCGAGGCGTGTGGAGCGTAGCCTCCGAATGTCATTGATCGTATTAGTGTAGGAGTCTGTTTGCTCTCCACCATATGACTTTGATCTGGTATCGGACCGAAGAAGAGGTGGGTCAAGCCCGACTTTGTGCCCTTCATTAGAATCATACGTCTGCAGATTGGGGTCATCTGCTAAAGAATTAAAACTAAAACCACTTATGACACTTATCACAGAAGGGGCGAGCGCTGCCTTACCTGACGTGTGGGGTAGATTTGCTCCTTGCCTTAGTCTCAACAATAGTCGTGCGAGAGCTACTCGGAGAAGGTAGACATATTGCTTCAAGCGTGATGCACGCTCAAACGGGACAAGTTTATCGTTGATCTGAGATCCGCATGCCTGGCAAACGACACGCTGCTCCGATGGGAACCATAGCCTATCCTCCAAATTTCCTTTGTACTCGCGCTTACAGCCAGAACAAGTCAAGCAGTTCAAATGCCATCTACGGTCCCCACACTTTGCACACTCCTCCTCAATAGTCGTATGACAGTTGACGCATAAATCTGAGTTTTCTTCCGCGAGGTTCTCTGACATTCCTTGGGTTAATTCAAGAGACTGCTTCCCCTCTTTAGCAGTCTCTAAGTCGGATAGTTCTTCCAGGAAAATCTTTAAAGCTTCAACATTGTTGTGCTCCCTCTCCTAGAGAGTGATTTATTATTAGACCATTTTCATGTTAAAACTTTGGGATGCGGGGTTTTATACCAGTCGCAGTGCACCTTGCAACGTGATACGAATTAAAAGCTTGAGATAATGGGCGAGTCCGGTCACAAGTGACAGAAGTTCCTGTGTTACACCAAGTTTTCGAACGCCGGTATCCTGGGTTTTTGAAAGAAGGCTGAAGAATGCAACAATCTTTTTACAGAGTAACTTGGCTTCTCTTGAGTATGTCAAACCTAAATTAAAGTCAAGATCGGTTCATCAGCTTCACGTCCTATAAATATAATGGGCCAACCAGTATCTCAAAGTGCTAAACTGATACGAAAAACTGCCGTACAGCCTGCACATGCACACAATAAAAGAGCTTACCCTTTGCAGCCACACTAAAAAGTTGCACGTCTAATGTATCCGCAGACCCAAACAGAATTTCAACGTGCCAGATAAACCTCTCTGCCACGAACACTCCATCAACGTAGGCACCATTTGAAACATGCAAAAGCATATCACTAATGCAGGCGGCAGAAGATTCCTCGAAAGAAGACAGAACACTCCAGATACGGAACACTTTATCTTCCATTTTTTCCTCCGCATCCCGAACCAGGGATCTTCGAGTATTGGTAGGATCTTCGACGGTAGGAGATCTGGGCTCCCCTGTATCTACGGGCGCAAGTCGCACGTTCCAAAACTAGGTCCAAGGGCAAGCATTAGCTCACGACCACAGAAGACGGTGGGGGGCGAAGGTTTGGAAAAACAGGGTTAAGGAACCCGATAGGAATATGCAGGTATGAAACCGAGACTTTTACTTATTTCGGCAAAAAGCGACCGGAACTGACCTTGTGGATCATATAGCATTCGGGATGCCAGTGTTGATTTTGCCCATTTCGAAATATTTCCACAAATTGCTTTAATATGGCGGTTTGGCATCCATTGCACCTTGCCGCAAACTGTGTCGAATAATGGTAATGGCAGTAAACCTTTCCATCATGCTCGTAGTAGGAATCCTGCGGCCCGAAAACAGTTGGGCAAACACAGCATGTAAAATGTTCGATATGATATTTGCGCTCTAAAGCAGTGATATAAGATCCGCGCAAAGCTCCACCACATTCATGGCACAATAAATCCAGACGGCGAAAATAGTCGGTCTCGCACAACGGGTACTGCCCTTGGCCATCTTCCTCATCGATCGGAAAAAAACGTGAAGCCACTATTGTACCGCAATCCTAAGAAAAGGAAAAGTTAGTAAAATACGAAGAGTGAAGGGGGGGCCCTTGAGCCTTTGGAAGAAACAAGCTCAACCCGAGAAAAGGATCAAAAAATCAAAAATGAAAAGTAGTACTCACCCTGCACTTGAAACACTCTAAATGATAAGCTCCTCCCAACGCTCGCACGAATTGGCCAGTAAGGACATTTCCACACTTTTGGCATATCCGGGTGTGTGATTTTGGTGAGTTCCCATGGGGAATAACACCATTACCTTCAGTTCCACCATTTCCACCAGTACCAGGACCACCAATACCCCCGGCCTGACCAGGAACACCCCCTCCGACACCTCCCCCGGGTGTCACGGGAGACCGCTCGCCAGGTTGCCTATTCCATGATTGTTGCTGCAAAGAGGAACCCGAAGGGTCCGACAGTTCCGTAGTTAGTGGAGGGAGGGGTTTTTGAGAATCAATAGACCGACGTCCATCTGACGGGTGAGACATGTGAACAAATTTAAAACCAGGGAGAAATTGCCTGCAGCAAGATCAACCACAGTTTGGGGGATGAGGGGTAGAAAGTTGGAACGTCCTTTCGCGGGTGTTTTCAAGGACCGACCGAGACTACAAAGCCGTGCACGAGAGAGGAGATGCAGAGCTTCGGATGAAGATCGGAGGGGGTAGAAGTCGCGACCGCAGTAATTGGTTTGCGGCGAGATGGAGAGGCTACACGGATCTTCCCCGTCAAAAGCGGAATGACCGAACGTGAAATGTTGCTATTTTGCACACGGCCAGGAGGAAAGGGGTGGTGGTTGTAGGGTAGCAAGGGAGCCGGTGACAAGCCTTCTTCGGCGACGATAGCCCATGCACACGCCAAACGAGCGGGGGGTGGTGAAGAAAAAATAAATGGAATGAACGTGCAAAACAGAGGCGATGCTAGATGATGTTAGGGGAGAGGACCTAAGGCAAAGGGTTTACTTTCTCCACCCCAAGAGTGATAATGTGCGGTATTCGGGGGTAAAGAGTACTGTTCCTACTGGTGGAGCAGGAGTGGGTGAAGGTTGAAGGACCGTGAAAGTGTGTGGTTGAGGTGGCTCTTCTCGCTTTCGAGGGGGGCGGATTTGTGTGTGAGGTTGGGTTGTCTTGAGAGGGCACACAAGCAAAGCAAGACAAAACAGCGAGCAAGTCGAGGCGGGCACAAAAAAAGGGACAGAGGAGGCGACCAGGGAACTATGTTAAGGGCAGCGCTCAACGACAAATGCGGTATGATAGCTATTACTGTACCGACTGTGGGGAGGTGGAGGTGGGAGTGGAGGGTAGCTGTGTGTATATGAGACCCTGAAATGGAGCTAACGACCTGGCGTTCAGCGAGGGTGAGCAAGAGGGAAAGGTTTCTCCAATGTACTTAGGTACTATAGTGCCGGTACTCGTAGGGGTAAAGAAATAGTGATGCACTCGAGTAGGAGAAAAACCAAAAACGTCCAAGTTACAAGCAAGCACGGTATCAATCTATGGTACTCGTATGATGACCATTGAACACTCCCATTTTTATTCTGTTTCTGGGCAAGTCAGGAAGAATGAATGTATGTAAGCTTCCGGTAGGCAAAGTCCAATCTCAATGTTCCTACAATAGTAACTGTGAGGGCCGAAGGGAAAAAAAAGTTTTCCCCCAAATCCCGCAGACCACACACACACATGAGCGCACACATCATAAGATTATTATTAGATTTACCATCTCATTCACATAACACGATTTTTGAATTCCTCAGGCGGGGTCCACCTAAGTAAGGTTTTGGGCATCGTTCTAGAATCCAGATGAATACAAGATGACTGCTCTTATATATAGGATGCGATACCAATTTGTCGATAATCTCCTTACGAGACTTATGGTACGGTGTTTAGTCCAAACGTGGGACAGTGCCGGCATGAGATCGTGCCTGATATGATAAAGTTAGTCTGCCGCAAACAGGAACCATGAAAATCGAAGCAGAAGAATTCACCTGGCGCAGAGGATGAACACATCCGCATCTAATGAACCAGCCATGAAAACTACCTATTAGCATCATCAGTCATGGCAACATGGTAAAACTAACCCCATATATGGCAGATAAAATTGTACGCTTCCCAACAGCCTCTTTGGAAGACGGCAGAGTGCACATCTGGACTAGATTTACTCAAATCATTAGCCTATAGGATTTCGATTTCGTCCTCGTACCTGCGATGATCATTTCAAACTTCCTCAGGCTTGGGTTAACATGGTCGGGAATAGATTCGGAGGTCAAGAAAGAGTAGGCAACCGGCCAGACACCGGTGCTGTATGATACAAGATATCTCAAGTCAAGTCATAGAAAAGTGTTATCCGAACAAAGGGACTTTACTGGAGGGCACCGCGCCTATCGTAGCGATACTTCACAAACATCCTTCGTTTTGGGGACGAAGGGTCCGCATCACGGCCCTGGCAGCCCAGACCACAGGGGCCTCCCATCTGGAGGGAGAGATTCTGCAGCACGGCAAAGCAGTAGGGGAAAGCCATTGTCTTAGTCATGCGCCAAGAGGTTGACACCCCTGCTGTGGGATTGCGGCCAACGACGGACGGGACGAGTACTCGTAAATTTAAAGCGAGCGAGCAAGATGAATGAGTTCCATCACGGTCAGTACCGTACCCTACGGTCTGTATCGGTAGACTATGTCATGAGCGTGTGCTCCTGCTATGCTTCGATGTAAATGTACCCGTAGCCATTCGGCGATGAGGAATAGACTGGAAAAGCCCATGTCGATTGCATTTGTTGAAGGATTACAGATTTTCGCCCATAATCTGAATTTCAAGACCGTCTGGGAGCTACCCCCAAGCATAGTCTATCGGTATCTGTCCTACTTTTTGTGATGCTGTTCCCGTGCCCCGTCAGTTGCTCTAATTGAGGCACGTAACTCCTACCGACGCCGTATTGCACAGTACTGTACTCGTACCTCTCTGCTCCTCTCCTCTCCACCCCGTGCCCTAAAGCCTGCGTACACCCATCCACAAACGGAGCTCGCTTCGTCGTCTCTTCATAGCTGCCCTTTCACTTCACCCTACTTACCTTTGAGCTCGCGTGCGTCCTCTCTAGGTTCTTCTTTGCTACCGTGCCCCCCCTCCCCTCCTTTCAACTTTACTGCCCTGCCCAGACCGGATCTTCCACGCTGTTACCTTATACTCCCTCACCTCCACACCCCTACAAATAACACTCCCCACCGCACCTCTTCTACTCGGCCTCTCATTCTTGTGCAGTCTCTCTCCACTTCCGGCTCCGTCATCGCAGACATGAACCAATCCGTTATCCGATTGACTAGGGTCAGTTGCAATCAGAGCTCCAAACTCTCAAGACGAACCCCTCATTAACCCCACTTCACAGGAGCTCAACGAGATCAGAAAATCCAACGATCTATGTGAGCTCTAAACCCTGACCACAGCTCTCTTCTCGGTTTGCGCTAACACAAGATTTCCACCAGCCATTGCCGTGGCTTGTAGGGAGTCTGATGTTCGCAATGTCAAGGCTACTATATTAGGACCCCCCGATACTCCTTATGAATTTGGTTTTTTTGAGGTCAGTTAATGGCGCGAGTGGATCTGCTGACAAGTGTTGGATGGTCACCATCTCTGTTGCATATGTATAACTGACACTGCTTTCCTCCTATCTTATAGTTTGCATTGAAATTCGGCAGAGGTTGATTTCCTCCTGAACCCGAAACTACAAGTTCAGGCTCTGTTAACCGTTGACTGTCAAACTTACTTGCACCACAGACTACCCCACCAAGGCCCCGACTGTCACTGCACTCACCACCAACTCCGGAAGGTGCCGGTTTAATCCAAATATATATGCCGTTGGCAAAGTTTGTCTGTACGTCACTATCCACCTTCACGTGCGCGCATCTGAGGAACTTTTCTGACTTGTCTGGCTTTTCTGCCCTTTTAGATCGATTCTTGGGTAAGGCGTGCTGTCCGATTGATCTTTGCGAGTTGTATGGGACGCTTACGGCTACGATTTAGTACTTGGAGGGGTGACCGTGGCGAAGAATGGTCTTCTGCCCAGGGGTTGGAATCAATTTTGATTTCGATCCAGAGCCTCATGTCTTCTAATCCGTACGAAAACGAACCCGGATTTGAGAACGCAAACCAGCCACACGATAAGGATAATCAGAAAGCTTATGTTCTCAAGGTACGGCAGTTGGTACTGCGTCTTGACCTACTTTTTCTATATCTAACTATTCCCCAACCTAGATCCGTCATGAAACCCTCCGTGTTTCTATTATATCTAGACTGGAAGACTATTTGGGCATCAACCCTGACGGAACCGTCCAACCACCACCAATCATTCCAGAGCAGGATATCTATGATGATGACTCGAGCATGATGGATTCGGAGGCCTCTGCGGTTTTTGAGCCTTTCAAAGATCTTTGTAAACGCCGGTTCCTTTGGTATTATGATACCTACCTCGCCTCCATCAAGGTTGAGAGTGAAAAGGTCACCGATGGTGCGCAATTTACTAAGATGCCATTCGAGCATGCTGGAAATGCTATGGAGGGAAAGTTTTTGTATTCAGAGCTAGAAAGACGTCTTAAATTCGTAAAGGAGAGATTGGACCATGAAACCGCTAGCTGGGCAGCCGAAGGCTTGATACTGCAAGACAAAGAGAGCGGGGTTGCGGCCAACTTGCAACGTCAATTCGAGCAGACTGTGGAGCACTATAAGAAGCAAGATTCCGTGACCATAGACATAGAGCTGGTGGATGACAATCCGTTTCTCTGGCGTGTGGTGAGATCGATCCCATTACTCAGGAGGGAGAAGAGGAAGGAGATGATGATGATGGTAAATACTAACGGCGATACAGACTTACTTTGGAAGACCGATGACCAACCTCGACGGAGGACTTTTTAACATACACCTCGCTTTTAGTCCTCGCTTTCCGGATGAGCAACCGAGGGCCAAATTTGTGACTCCTCTGTACCACCACCAAATAACTAGTATGGTTACCCCCTCATTGCTTCTCTCTGCCTTTCTGACAATCGCTTAACTGAATATTCACCAATTCTAGCTGATGGTATTCCATGTTATATCCCCCAAAGATATGATGAGGGTCGTCATCACATCGACGCCATTATCCAGCTCATGGAGGATGAGAGCCCCCCTTATGATCCCCGCACTCAGGTGAACCAGGAAGCGTCCAAGCTTTACTGGGGATCTAAGGAGGACAAGAGGGAGTATAACAAGAAGTTAAGAAGGTATGTTTCGTCCAGAAACCGAGAATTCAAACAATGTTTCTAACAATTCATCCCGCTTTTAGATCCGTCCAGAGATCGATGGAAGGCTAAACAGATGTGAATGATATGGAGAAACTGCTGTATTACTTTATTGTTTTATTGCTTACTCACATATCCTCCACACTTTTTGCTCCTTCTCTTCTTCTCTTTTTATTTTTATTTTTTTTATTGCTCCTCCTATATTTGTTTTTTTATTCTCATTTTCTCCCTCCCGATCTCTCATAATCTTTTCTGAGAATCACTCATGGTGGCGGTCAGTGTAATGAATATAAAGTGGAGTTGATTCATTCATTTTTCTACTTTTCTTTTTCTTCCTTCGCCAACTGGTGGTACCCTATTTTACTATATTTTTATTTCTTCTCTCCTCCTGCTGGCTTCATGACACTTGCTTGCTGGTCTAGTATTATTATTTTTTCAAACCAAAGGTTCCGGGATGAGAGGGACTCGGGGAGAGATGGGATTGGGCGTTGGCTTTTTTTTTTTTTATTCTTTTATTTTTATTTTTCATATCTAGTTTTCGCTTTCATTGTCCTCATTCAACCATCGACCAATCAAACAAGCCTGTAATCTCTTGGCTAGCTATGGTATGACATGGTATGAGTGTCGGCAGTAGCCTTTCCTCAATTGTTCGCTTCCATTCTCTATTGTGTAGTTAGTCTATGTCTTCCATTCTTCATCCAATCACTTCCTCCCCGGTCCGCCGGGAGATTTACTGACGGCTTGATCGCTCATGCCTATTCTTCACTCCCGTGATAGCCCGTCCCGTTCAGTATGGCAAAACCCTCGATTCAAATTACCGGAATGACAGTCGATCAGACCAGTTCGTCCATCTCTGGGACACTTTCCGGAAGGGAAAAAGATTGTTAAAACCCAGGCCACGATTCAATCGTATTCCTATCGGCCGATTAGTGCGGCCGAATATTATGATCCGTCCTGTCGGGCGGAGCTCTCGGACTCTTCGGGTTTAGGTAAGTTTGTTGGGTGCTGGTTGGGTGTTTGTGGTGGGAGGGCGCGAATGTATTTCTCTCGATATTGGAAGAGTGTGCTTTCGCTGGGTATGATATGGTGGTGGTTTAGATTGATATGTAACAGCACTGTACGCACGATCTGAAAACGATAACTCCGAGTGATGCTATGTGATTAGGTTTCTAGATTACGTAGTTCTGTAATGGTGGGAAGGGGGGGAGTGTATCGTTCACGGGCATTATATAAATCTAGGTGTAGGAGAGGGAGAGGGGGGGTGGAGAAAGAAAAGAGAACAGCATCTCGAAATCTACAATCCCCCCCCCTCAGCTAAAAAATAGTATGGTACCGGTGGCTAGTCCTCATGCTCATCCGATCCTTTCAATACCCCCATGGCAACTTCGAAACTCCACATCGTGGCCGCGGATAACGGCGCCGCCTTCACCAGCGAGACCACGAGTCCTCTGTACAATCCCCGCACGCCCTCAACCCTGAGCACGTCCCTGGCGGTCCCCAAAACTCCGGTGTGAACTGGTAACCGGTCGCCGAGGAGATACCTAGTCCTCGTGGGGCCCTGAACCTGCAGTCGCTTCCTGATGAGGTCCAGCGGAAACGTTCCCGTCTTCGCAACGACCCCGGCGAGCCCTCCCGAGACCGCGTCCAGGGTTTTAGAGTTCGAATCGAGTTTGTCACCGAGGAACTTCTTGGTGGCCTCGTGGGTCATGAAGACCAGCCCCATGTACGGCACAATCTGCGTCACCCCGGCACCCCAGCCGCGGAAGAAGCCGGCATAGCCCTCACTCCGACGGATCTGGCGGATGGAGTGGAGGATGGAGGTGTAGATTCTGCGGTCGCCGTTGGCTTGGGCGGCGAAGCGTGTGCGCAGGAGGTCGAATGGATATGAGAGTGTGGTCGCCGCGGCGCCGGCGAGACCACCGGAGACGAAGTATTTGAGCGAGGGGGGGAGGGCATAAAAGGGTGAATCGAGGGTCGTGGTCAAGTGTCGGTATGTGAGGAATTGGGCGGCGCCGTAGGTTATGTAGAGGAGCTCCGCGGGGATATTGCCCTTCCATAGACCGGTTATTGTTTCTTCGCGGAGAATGCGGAGGAGGGTGGGTAGAATGCCGCGGTAGAGAGGTGGTGGTGGTGGTGCTGATGCGAGGGCGGAGGGGGTGGTGGTTTGGATGGTTGGAGTGGAGGTTGGAATTGGCTGGAGTTGGAGGCGAATTTTTATGACGTCTAGGGGGGCTATGACGAACCTGGGGGTCAAGGAGCAAGTGTCAGCCTGGGGAAGAAAAGGTAGGGAAGAGAGGGAACAGGAATACCGTGATACAAGACCGGAAAAAGCTCCAGCAATCATCACGCGCTTCGCAGAAGCAGGATCTTCCTATGTGATTGCATGTTTATCAGATAGGAATCATCTCATCTTCTCTTCCCCCTTCAAGGAAGGGGCACGAAACCAATGCAACAGTGGAAATGTGGGGAGAGCAGAAGGAAGGGAGGGGAGAGGAGGGAGAGAACGGGGAAACAAGCTAGAAAGGTATCCAACTAACCATAACCAAGCGAAAGGGTAACTCACACCTTTGGTCCCCCCGGCCTTTGCCATGATAATTGCAGGTGCTGCGACTACAGTAGTCCAAGTCAAGAGGTTCAGGAAGTGGGTTGACGGTCAGTCTCGGAAGAGAATAATTTGAGGGGGGGAGAAAGAAAGAAAAACGGGAAATGGCGCCGGTATTCGTTGCTGCTTCAAACGCACACACACACTTACCGGTACGTTGGCGAATTAACGATGAGGTCTTAACTTATTCCTTCCCGCCCACTGAGAGAGGAGGGATTGAAATAGGCACCGTATCATACCGGTAGGTGCGCTTGGCCATTGGGACGAGATGAGGAAGGGAAGGGGTGAACCTGCTGTAACATTGTATGTTGCATATTCCACCTCAGCTATCAAAATGAAGAATGATAACTATTTGAACTACTCGGATATGGTGATGGGTGGAGCCATCCATTGAATTCCATTCCGAGTGATCTTTTTTACTATGAGGGTCCGAAAGCGGTGTCCTAGATGCCTCTTTGGGAGTCGCGTTAGGATTCTTTTTTAATCCTCCTGAGCAAATAACAAGTTCCTCTAGGTGCTGCGTATCAACAATTCGGTGCATCACAGTTGGTACGAGTACCAAATCGCCCATCGTTGGCTGTTAAGGGCACTCAACATGTAATATGTATTTTAACCATAAGCTCAAAGAAAGAGATTTCACAGATTTTTGCAACCTGGGAGATCGCTAGATCCATTTGCTTATCTCGCGAAAAAAAAGAGAAGAAAAAAAAGGTTATAGGCTGTCTCTTGAATTCCAATACCATACCGTGCTGTAATATCTCGTCAAATTCAGTATTTCTGCGTAGGCTATCTTGATAAATTATTTATCCATTAATCTTTACTCGAGCACTCGTACTGTTACCTTCGCACAGAATCAATGAAATTTTCTTCTGTAGCCAATTCCTAATTGACCCTCATTGATAGTACAACCTTTTGGTCTTGCTACTGAGACTTGATACGATTCTTATTAGAGAGTTTGTGCACGGAGACCCAGGTGACGGTGAAGGGAAAGGAGACCTAGGTCGTCAAATGAGTTTGTACTCGGGTGTAAGGGTATTTCGGGACCAGTAACACAAAACCCCCCTACCCCTGCCCACACGGGCAATACCCCTTTCCATCACTGTATGCATGCCAGAGTATCATAGCATAGTATAGTGTTTATCATATATACCAGCCCAGAAACAATCAGCAAACAATATGCAACAAAAAGGTGATCGTGAACGAAACCCAGTTGGTGTTCGACACTGTGAAACCACTCGAGATGAACATGTGAAGGTCATTACCTTTTGTGATGGTGCTGGATGGAATTGGTCCAGAATAGGCAGATATTTTAATATCAGCCGATGCGCTTGTAAAAAGGTAAGTATATTTATTCTAGAATGGGGGTAGAGGTGATCTAACATACTACGAATAGATTTAAAAGTGTGCAAAAGAAAATGGCACACCCTCTAATGCCCACTGCTTTGGTTGTCCATCAATATTTGATGAGGTTGAAAGGTGTCATCTGAAATCCTTTGTAACACTTGATGCAAGAACATGACGGCTAAGTTGGGATGAGATTGGTCTAGCAATGGGCTACTCATGCTGTCCACAGACTATAAAAACAGTAATGGAATCCATGGGCTATCATCATCACGTGCCTAGAAGGAAATTCGCTATTAGACCTGTAAATAGATCTATTCATGTTACCTGGTGTCAGGAGCATTTAGACTGGGGATATGAGGATTGGCTTCACATTTCGTGGACAGATGAGTTCACCTTTTCGACTGCTGGTTTCGGGAATAGGCCCTGGATGACACAGAAGCCAGAGGAGGAGTTTCACAAATATTGTATTGATGAAACATTTGAGTTCGTACATGCAACACAAATGGTCTGGGGAGATTTTTGTGGTACCATGAGATCTAAATTGGTCTTTATTCCTCCAAAAGCCAAAGTTGATTCTGTCCTTTATGTTTGGAATGTGATGTATCCTTACCTAATACCCTTCTGGTATAATTGCTGTAAAAACTACAGATGGGTAATAGTAGTGGAGGATGGGACACCAGGTCATAAGGGCTTTGCTAAGTAGTATCGGGATTGGAATGGGATTGAGACTATGAAGTGGCCTGCGCAGTCACCTGATCTCAATTTGATTGAGGCCTTATGGCTTGATATGGAGAACGAGCTTGGAGAAACCTGGGGCTGAATCGGCGATGTTCAAATATTGGAAACTGCACTCGACGCAGTTTGGAATGCAATTCCCAATGATAGGCTTGAGAGTCTCATCAGGAGTATGCCTGAACGTTTATAAGCTGTAATAGATGCTGAAGGAGGGCCTACAAGATATTGATTTATATAGATTAGTTCTTATGAAGGGTAGGGTTTGTTTTTTTATATTATACTATAATAGACGTATTCATTGGATATCACTTGCAGTATATCCCTTTCCGGAAGTGGTACTCACTTTTTACTGATACCAAAACATCCTCATCTGCTGTCACTCAAACTTCCTAATCTGGCTTGGTCTCCATAGAAATACTGCATGTTCTTTTGGAAGTGGTCCCAATTTTTTTCAACCTCCTAGTACAACAAGTATAGGTAGCTTGGCAGACAGGTAACTATAGTATGAGTACACTTATTTGTGAGAAAATGATCAGAAGAGTAATGTGATGACATGTCACAACCTTGGCAAGAGTACAGTTGTGTCCGTTTAATACCAGTAATTATACTCCTGCACAGCCAACATGTAACACCATCACCCCCTCATCCTACTGGCAGCTATGGCTTCCCCTCAGACTACCTGAGCAAAAGAAGATCAGAATAAGGAAATTTATACCCTGTATAAGCATACTGATATGGGGAATAATAAAATAGCAAAGGCTATTGGGGTCTGCAAGGCTACTGTTCAAAAGATTGTCACTAGAGCCAAGATAAGAGGTGGAGATACCCATTATGCTTCCAAGCAAGGCCAACCCACCAAGATTACCAATATTAAAAGAAGAACAGTAGAGGCTATTATTGATGCTGAGCCTCATTTAGCGCTACACGAAATTACCCAAAAGGTAAATATTGGTCTTGGTAAGACCACTATTGATAAGATTATTTCAGAAGCTGGTTTTATGCTTCTGATACCAAGGAAAAAGCCTTTTTGGAGGAAAGGACAGAAGGAGAAGAGAAAAGAGTTTGCTAGGAGAAGGAGAAACTGAGAAGGGGCATGGAATTGAGTAGTTTTTATTGATGAAGCCACCATCATCTAGGATCCAAATCCTGTTAAGAGAAAGGTCAGAATAAGAGCTGGTGAAGAGCTGGAAGAAAAAAACTTAAAGCCTAGCTTTAAGTCAGAAAGGACTAGTATTGGTATCTATGCTGCAATAATGAAGAGTGGAAAAACTGAGTTAATTCTTGTAAGAAAAAGGAGAGAGGAGGAAAGGATTAGTAAAAGAGACAGACTTGGCCTCAATTCCTACTAATATGCAATTGAGATCCACCAGCCATACCTTATCTCTTTTACAGAAGGTCTGGATAGACCTTCTGACAACAGTTACCTAGCGGCAGACAAGGCTTCCTGGCATGGTGGTGAGGAAAATTGAAAATTGCAAGCAGACTGTGGTTACAAAAAACTCACTTGGTCACCCAACTCTCCATATCTCAATCCTATTGAGAAAACATGAGCACTACTCAAAAGAGCCCTCAGAAAGCAATTCTCCAGATTGGAAAGAAGGCTCCATATTGCTGCTGAATTATTTCAGGCAGCAAAGGAGGAGTGAGATTTAATTCCCTAAGAGACATTGGAAGCTTGAATAGCAAGAATGCCTGAGAGAATTTAGGCTGTTTTGGATGCAAATAGAGGTCATACAAAATGGCAATTGGATTTCTTTGAAGCTTAGGTCAGACACTTTCATCTATTCCTTAATTGGCTTTGTATCTTGATTTTTTGTATGGTTGAATTCATTAAGTATTATGGTTGTGATTGCCAGGCAGGAGTATAATTATTAAATGGACATGACTGTACCACCACCTCCTGAGCTGTACTGATAAGAAAGCAACATAAATATAAGTTTATTTGAAGTCATTATATTTCTCTAATTAGCTAGAGTACCAGTACTGGTATTAAAGACTGACTCGCTAAATTCATGGGAAGACAGCGATTGCCTAGTGATGCCTCAGATATTCTGCAAACCTATCACCAGGGCTACTCCTCACAAAGCCGTGAGCATCCCTTCAATTGTGTATCAGATTACAGCGATTTGCAAATGTTTTGTACAAGGGATAAGAAAGGAGTTTTTATTTTTCTTAAATGTAAGAGGGATACACTAGCATGTACTATACTAATTACAGTAAGAGTATGTGTGTCAGTAAAATAGGAGGTAGACAGAATTTTCTTAGAATTTACCTTTGTACTTGCAAATTCTGACATACAAGAGATTTTTTACTATCAATATATTAGAATAGTATGAGGAAAACAATAGTGATGAAGAGGAAGTTTGAAATAATGAAGAAGTACTCCAATCATCTAATCCACTGAATACTGACCTAGAATATTTTTCATAGTGGTTAGAGAATCCAAATGGACTACCATGACAGCAAGTGGGTTTGGATAGTTCAATTCAACTTGGTATTATCAAGTACCTACCCTCACCCTCTCTGATAGTACTACAAAACTAAACAATACCAGCTAACCAAGTCCTACCAATTAGCCAACTTGTAAGACAAGATCAGTATATCCATACCTGTATTCTAAGCTATTCACCTACCTACGTTCTAACAGTCAGTCCAATTTCCAG